CAGTATAATTCACGTTTTGACATTCTTTGACACGGGCGCTTTCTATGAGAGACTTATGAGACATAGTATCTTGTTCGTGGGTAGGAGCCAGATAATCGTACGTGAGCATACTGAGGATTGGCTTCCAAAAGATCAACCTCTTCGACCATAGAAGTGTATTTATTGCTTTTGTTAAAATTTGGAAGTAAAACCGGTCCTGGGGATGTAAGCCAAGTAAAGTAGGTATAGAAGTTCCATTTGTTGAACGTCTAGGATGAGTAAACATTCTCTCATGTGGTGTCACATTGATCGCGGTACATAGTAAGGATCAAATTGCATGGAATGATTCAAATAGTACATGTTCCCACTGACTAATTTGTAGATTATGGGATCTCAGTGCGAAACTAGTTTTCCATATAATTCCATTGTAACGCTCACATTGTCCATTTCCTTGGGAATTATATGGTGTAGTCCTACTTGAAGCTTTTCCAAGAGACCCGAAAAAAAATTTAAGTTTTCTAGATATGAAACACGATCCCTAATCAGAGTAAATATAGACAAATTGAAATGTTACTAAATATTATTAAAGACTACTTTTAAGAAAAGCAAGCTCGCATGAGAGTTTTAGTGATTAAATGAATTTTGGAGTTAAATTTTGGTTAAATTGAGATAATTGTTATTAATTAAATTGGTACAGGAAGAAAGATTTTATCCAAGAGCAATAAGTATGCAAAAATTTTACTTAGATGTTTAATATCAAATCTTTTGTTAATGCAGTCATTTTAAGCAATATGTGCTATTTCTAAGAAAAGTCTTTTGTCTAGGCGACGCTCTTTTTCTAAAACTTTGATGTCTTGGAAGTTGAAGGTATGGTTATTCGAAATTGTATGATTTGCTAATACACAACGTTCTGGGTACAGTCTACAACCGCTCTTGTGAGCTGTTATGTAGTCTTTTAATAGTCTTGTAGTTTGACCTATGTATAATGAGTTACAATCCACACAAGGGATACTGTAGACTACATCAGTCCAAGATAGCATTGGTGTTTTGTCCTTAAGTTTTGAGAATACACTATTAACGGTGAGAACAGTTTTAGTTGCAAATTTTAAATTTGATGTATGAGCCTGGGTGTGATATCTCTGATGTATGGTAGAGTGACATATGTAATGTTGGTTTCAGCTGGTACATTTTTAACTTCTGCATTATTGTTTTGACTTTCTATATTATTGATTATATTATTATTCGTTAAAATGGATGAAGAGTTATATAAAAGTTTTTTTTACCAGGTGAGATGGGTATGAATTGTCAATAAAAAGCTTGTATAGGATGTTAAGGTTTTTTTGGTGGAAGGAATTATCATTAATACTGAGGGCTCTATTTTTCATTTGTTTAATCAAATTGATCTTTATTGAATGTGTATGGTACGACCAATAGTTAATGTACCTACCAGAACTGATAGATTTTCTATATTAATCTATTATCAATCGATTATCCATACGTATAAACTTAGGGTTGGTCCATTTTGGGCATAGTCAGAAAATCTAGGGGGTACTTTATGGAGAGTCGTTTTTTATTTTATGGAATTTTTCTGTTATTTACAATTGGAGAAGAAGGTTTTTCAAATAAAAGTTGCTTGTAATGTTAATCTCAATATTTTCTCTATGCAAAATTTTCCCAAAATTTTCAAACGTCAAAATCTGCTTTACTTGAGAAATCCCATAAGTCGTTGACTAATAGTGTTTCTCTAATACACGCGGTACACGAGCTAATACAATCAGCTGTTGCAGATTGACCAAAAGACAGTCTTCTAACGGTGTTTCCGCTCCAATAAACAAACTGGGACTGACATACGAACATTGGTAAATTGTGAACTGCATTAAATAATGTTGAAAATACCTGTGCAATCCGTAGGGATGGAAGGAACTTCTAATTAAACACTTTATTTTAAAACACTAGTGAAACGATGTTAATTTTATTACTTGGACAGAGGCGGAAGGACTAAACATTAACCCAAACAAATCTGACATAATTGCATTCACTCGCTCGAGGAAATTGGAGGGACTAGGGCATCTAAACCTAAGAGGTGCAAGCTTCCAGCTTAAGGGGGAGGTAAAATATCTCGGGGTTATGATTGACGCGAGACTTACCTGGAACCAGCATCTAGAAAGGACCACAAGGAGAGCGGAAACCTCATTAATGATGGCAAGGCGATCCTTTGGAAAAAAAATGGGGGTTAAAACCAGACATGGTATATTGGATTTATAACATGGTGGTGAGACCCATAATAACATACGCAGCTTTGGTGTGGTGGCCAAAGACACAGCAAAGGAAAGCAATAACGAGGCTTAGCAAGGTACAAAGACTTGCCTGCCTCGGAATAACGGGGGCAATGAAAACAACCCCCACTGCTGCAATGGAAGCACTAATAGGACTCGCACCTCTTCACTATGTGATACAAGGGGAGGCAAGATTAGGTGCTTACAGATTAGGGAATACACTGGGAAATCTTGACATTAGGCCAGGTCACATGAGTATCTCAAGGTTAGTGACAGGAGACGTGCTAGACATGAGATCAGACCACTTAACTAAGAGGTACTCTTTTAATACTCCCTTTGAGGTTTTAATAGAGGAAAGAGCGGAGATCACCATAAGAGAGCCCAATGCCCAACGACAGGAACAAACCTGGTATACAGACGGGTCTAAGACTGCGGAAGGCATTGGGGCAGGAGTATTCTCCAAAAACCCTGATACTAACCATAGCTATGCTATAGGAATACATTCCTCGGTATTTCAGGCCGAGGTATACGCAATTTTGCAATGTGCAAAAACGAACAATGAAAGAGCTGTCGAAAATCAGCATATTCAAATAATGTCAGACAGCCAAGCGGCACTTAAGGCCATATCGAGTCAGAAAGTTACGTCGAGGCTGGTATGGGAATGCATCGAAGAACTAAGAACACTGACAGACCGTAATAGAGTAAAACTATTTTGGGTGCCAGGTCACAAAGGGATCGAAGGCAACGAAAAGGCTGACGAACTTACAAAAATAGGGTCAGAAGAAACACCGGAACCAGACACAAACCCAGGAGTACCAAAAAGTACAGTCCGGGGTTTTATAAATGACTGGATTCGGGAACAACATATCAACTATTGGGAAAGTACCCCAAAACAGGCACATGGAAAAGCCTTCATAGGCAGACCATGTCCCAAAAGAACTGGAGAACTACTCTTAATGAATAGGAACCAGTTGAAAGTGATAACAGGGTTCATGACTGGGCACGCCCCAGTAAAGGGACACTTGAACAAAATTGGCATGTACAATGGGGAACTCATGTGCCGACTATGTCACAAGAAACCAGAAACGGCCAAACACATACTGTGCGAATGCGAAGCTCTAGATCGCAAAAGACAGGCTCTTTTTGGACAACCCCAGGTTGATCCACAACGTATAGAACCCACTCACCCAAGGATCTGTACAAACTTGTACAAGGTACAAAGATGATAGAGTGGGTGCTATGAACTAACATGGGGTAAAACACAATAAGCCAATAGGCTTCAGTGTTATTCGGAGACACATAGTCAGACGAGCCCAGGAGAGAAAAAAAAAAAGATTGAGAATGACGCTTGATGTTGACCAATTAGGAAGTGCCTAATGCCGGTGTTTTTAACCAATGAGAACGATTGCCGGGTATAGATGACCAATGATAAGTGCACAAGAAGTGAATAATGCCTGTGACGTAGGTATTAGTCAGGAGACCGTTCTTATCGGCCAAGACAGTGCTGCAAAGACGTCTCCAGGAATAACAAAAAATTGAAAAAGAAATGTTAGTGCAATGTTGAATATAATTCAACAAGCAGTATCACAAGATAAAAATATATCACATAAAATAAGGCAGTATGTGCATTTTAAACATTTTTTTCGAAAATGAGTTCTTGGGGCAAAATTTTTTACAGATGGACTGACTTGTAATACATTTTGAAAGGCTTGTGTTGGAAAAATACTTATTAGGCATTCCAACGACCTGTCCAAATGGCTACCAGTGGGTAATGACAGTTTAGATATGGCAACCCTGTTGTAAAGTTGTCATTAACAGGGTCAATGATACATATATAGTTATATAGATTGCTCAAAGCTGGTCGTTTACGAGCGGCCATATTGCCTGGCAAATATTTATTAATTTGAATCGGTTTAGCAAAAATGTGTTTTAAAACCAATTATTAGCCTTTAGATATTTAAAAAAATAATTGCTTACATTTTTACTTCAATGCATAAGCTTATGTTTATTTTGAAAAATATGGATGATCAATCTATGTAACTATCTATTTCATTGACCTTGTCAAATCACCAGGCCTACAGGGTTGCCATAATTTTGCCATATCATAACCCACTGGTAGCCATTCAGTTTGGAATGCCTAATTAACAAATAGAAGATGAATGATCTTGTCAAACTAAAGCAGTATCTTCCGGTTTTAGATGAAATTTTAAATTGAATAAAAATATTGTTAAATAAACATATAATTTCATTAAAAAAGTAGTTTTATTATCTAAATAAATTAAAATAATATCCGTATATTTGAGTCATTTTCAAAAAAATATTTTGGATCCTTAAGAAAAAAAGCACTAGTTGTTTTGATACTATCAAATAGTAAACCAATCTTGCAATTTTAGAAAAAAAAAATCAGTGCTTTGTCTCACACACAGACGATTTAAGAAAGTTTTTTTTTAATTTCCCAAACTTTTCTGACTTATGGTGTTTCTTAAATGACTGATTCATTTATAATGTGTGTGAAAAATGTATGTATTCTTGAAACATTTACAGGGGTGATACAATAGGTTTTAAAAAAATAGCGGAAATAGCTTGGTAATAACTAGACAGAAAAGGCATGCGTTGGACACATCAGATTTTTTTATGTAAATAAGTTAGGTTAGATCGACTTATTTTCGATTTTAGAAGCTGTTGTCAAATTTACTGTACATCTTTTTATTACACCCTATATATAACAATGCTTTTGTGTTTCAGGAAGTTTATCAGCCATATTGGCTTTTGCTTGTCCACTTTCTCACCTCATCAAACTTCTAAATACAGCCGCACTTTTAAAATGTGCTTTTATATCTTGTCAACTCATCTACAGCAGATATAAGCCTGAAATCAACTATGATTATTTAGGTAATGTATCTTGTCATTTAAAATAGGTAAATACACATAAATTCATTTCTTAAATTTCATTTTATAGTTTCTACACACGATTTTTATTTTTTTAAATAACCTACTTCTCTTTGTTCTTCAACCGATAATATTGTTCTCGTATGTAGAATGGAGCAAAGTAACTCGAGTTAGCAAACTCTTTTCTTGGACCAATATCTTTTTCGAAACTAATAAACGAGTTTAGAAAAGTTGAAAACTTTCGAGATGCAATTAATGCCTGTAATTTATAAAGTTATAATAACTTTATGAACTATAGATATTTCTTTTGTAAAAAAGTGAATTGGTAAACTTAGATACAACTTCAGTTTTAGTATTTCATCAGTATGTTATATTTTTTCCATTCCAATCTGGATTAATTTTGTTTATTTTTTTTTTTAGTTCATAATTCGAACGTTCAATACAGCAAACTGCAAAAGAATCCAAGCAATTTAGCACTTCAAAATAATTTGAATTGGTCAACAGTTAAAGAAAAAGTCCAGAACTGGTTCAAGAAAAAGCCTTATTATATACATCGTCTGAGCTCTCCAAAAAATATAATTTCCCAAAAACTAACACCTGGGGGAAGCAGAATTGGTAAGTAGCTAATTTCGAATTTGTTAACTTTTGATGTAATTTGGTAGCACAATGTAGAACAATTTGGTAAATCAGAGATGTAATAAAAGTAGACTTATATTTAGGCTGCGAATTGGTATAAAATTTGAATTAAATGCGAAGCAGTCCTAAAAAAAGAATAGTATTTAAGGCTGGGAAATGGACTAAAAATGGCGGCCGTTTCTGTCATTTTACAACGTGTTACTAAATCATGCTTTTTAGATTAATAAAGAAAAATTACACGGAAATTGAGTTATAATTATATACAGCAATGTTGTAAGAATGAATTGAATATAAACATATTCGATAATAACTAATCATAATTTCACATTATTATTAAAAACTTGAAAAATTTTATTGCAAGGATTATTAAGCAAATTGTTTTCAATGAATTCTCTATGATTTTTTATTAACTATCCTACAATATGACGGCTGTCGGTCTAATAATTATTACAAAAAGCATGATTTCAATTTGCAAATTTTGACACAATTTTTAAAATTGACGCGTTAATTATCATGTTATTTTAGTACATCGTGTTCACCACCAATACGACATGCAAGGCTGAGTTATTCTTAGCTAATATGCTTTGGATGTTTTACACATATCTTTTATAGTAGGTCTGTTCCAACAGCGATCAGAAACCAGTCACTGACACCAGGATTCCGCGCAATATACAGGGTGTAACTAAATAAGTGTAAAACATTTAAGGGGGTGATTCTTCATCGAAAAAAAGATAGGATCTTTTATATAAAGAAACTTCATTGGAGCATCCCTTGTTAAGATACAGCCCCTTAAAGGGGGTACATAAAATTTTTTAACAAATTTTTTCACAAGCACCAAACAAGTTACAATATTTAAATTAACCTGTCATTTTATACTACTAAAAAGACACTTAGCCAGTAATTTATTTGGTTTACCCCATGGTTGTAAGAGGTGGAAAACGCAACCCCTAAAATTTCGTTCCAACGTAACTTTTTGTCTTATTAATGTAATATTTCAATGTCTAACGTCAATTGCCTTCCCTGAATGTCAAACTGCAAGGTAGCCAATACCAACCTATAAAACTAAAATAAACCTGTATTATTTAAATATACAACATAAGTAATGCCCACTCACATATGGCTACCCTCCACTTTAATATTATTTTTTTAGAAGAAAAAGAATGCCTTCTATTAGACGACTATAATACGAGAGCCATAAATTTGGATACTGCCGAAGACAGTGCCTCAGATCTTGAAGATGAATCTCTAGCTTGTACTGACGATGAAAATTCGAGTACGTCAACCGACATAGATATAGTGGTTGAAGAATACAAAGAAGGTCTTAAAGTAAGACAAATACTTGTTTACAGTTCATCAAATTTCTAGAGGTGTTCGACGCCCAGACAGAGAACGCGCTACGTGTGACTAAGATAGCTATTGTACAGTCTGCTAAACAAGTTATTTTAAATAGTTTTTAATATTTTTAGGTAATTAAATTTTAAAAGTGTGGAATAGTTTAGGGATTAAATTGGTCTGATTGGACTTTCTTAGAACGTTTTTAAAAGCAGCTAAAGATAGTATGTAGAATTGAAAATAATTATTATGCCATAAAAGGTGTTTTGGAATTCCTTCAACCTTTTGAAATTGAGTCAGAAAATATAAATTTTATAGGATAGCGGAAAATACCTATAATTTTTTTGTAGGCCTTTGTAAATCGTGGAAATAGTTTATATTTTATTTCTACCTTATTAAGGAAAATTGTACCTATTATTAATAACGGTTGTTTCTGAAACATTACTAAAATTTTCGAAATTTTGTTTTTCTACAAAATAATAAACTATACTATTTAGAAAAAAATTTATTTCTCTTATAATTTTATGAAAAATAACGGGAATATTTACATTTCTTGACCTATTAAACAAAACGATAAATTATCTCGACGAATGACACCATGTTCTAGTACGGAAGCTAGCTTTACATTTTTGTTGGTGGTTTCATGGGTTTCATATCAATTTTTTGTAATTGTAGTTTACACGTACATACATATACCTCTTAACACTTGTTTGCTTTATTAAAAAAGTGTGTTGTTGTGATTTACGTCGAAATAAGTCAAAAACAACTTGAAACCCCATATAAAATCAAAAAGGAGAAACGTAAAAAAATTGAGCCTGTAAATGAACACAACTCAGAAACAAAAATAGCTATCTAATAATAAAAAAGTAAAATTTGATTCTTGTGCAGCTTCATCTATATCATTAACTGTTTTTGGTTTTTTAATGGTTTTTCTTGGTGATGAAAATTTCGATATCTCACGGTTATCGATTCTTTTTTTCTCTCCAGAAATGTTTTTAGATACTCCTGTGGCTGCAGCAACACGATCATTTACATTTTTAAATGGTATTAAAGGTGAATTAAAGTTTCCTTCTCTTCTCATAAACTCTATAACATTGGCTATTATTTCGCGAGATTGACTGTTAATCACGCGGCCTCTTAATTTGCTATTAAACTCCATACTTAGGTTCTATTAAACTGTAATGAGCAAAAAACACAAACGAAAATAAAAGAAATGTTTTAGCGAAATTTACATCTGACATTTACGTCTGAATGAAATAGTGAAATACTTGATGCGCAGAGTGTACTTTCATTGCGTAAATCCGTCGGGATGCCTGTCAGTAGTGCTTTCTCTGTCTAGCCGTCGAAAGCCTCTAGAAATTTGATGAACTGTACTGTTGATTATAATATCGTTAACCGAACTATATATTTTTCAGGTAGCGACTGTCGGTAAATTTAACGAAAACAGAAGGTCTACCAGATTCACTTCTACAGTAGTTACTTTTTGCATAATTTTAGCAATAACATCATCGATTTGCATGGCTCTATATATAGAAAGAGTGTATAGTATTTATTGGCCTAGTTTAGTAGGTGAGTAGATTTCACGATTGTCAATTTTATAATATAGAGAGAGATCCGCAAAATGTTTCTTCAAAGTAGGTTGAGATACGAGTCATTTTCGTGATAACTACTTAAAAAGAAAAAATTTTTTTCCAATTCTTACTATAGAAACATTTTTGTAGATCACTCCATATTTACACATCTTAGGAAACGTAATTGTTGTTTTAGGTCTAATCATATCAGTGTTAGTAATAACTGCAATGCCCCAAAATGGGGCAGACAAATCAAAAGAAGCAATTTTGCCGTCCATACTGTTTCCTTTTTTTAATGTATCTTCCATAGTGCTTAATATTAGTCTATCTTCTACTATTTTTATAGACATTTGGCAGGGGGTCGTTTTTTGGACATTAGCGGGTAAGAAACATTTTTTAAATAACTATGATAAGTTTATTCTAAATCTACAATTCTAGTCTCGGTTAAAGCTTAAAGCGCGACAATATTATAACATTCAATATTATACGGGATTCATTGAAAAATGCACTTAAAATTTTCTTTATACACTAAGATATAGGGTTATTTATTACATTTGTTCATAGCTTCAATAGTTCATGAGTTACCAAGTACATATTTTTCAAATGTACTATCTACCTATGTTATGTTGGAAATGGGTGTGAATACACACCTAAAAGATCTACTGTGCCATCTTCTGTTACTAATGCAACGAGCAAATGTCTTGATACCTATAACAACCCTTCGAATCCTATCTTTTCAAGAAAGTATAGGATTTTGAGTGGCTTAAAATTAGGTAAATCTGCCTCTTCTATTTGATATGCTCCTAAGTATAGTCCCCTTGGATTCTGGAGTGCTACCTACACATTCAGTCAGAATGTGAATGGAGGTTTCGTCCTTCTCCTCCTCATAGAATCTGCACTCACTATTTTAATGTACTCTCAGTTTACTAAGGTGTCCTTTGATTTGGCAATGTCCGGTAAGGATACCTGTTACAATATGTAACCTGTTCTTACTTAGACAGATACAGGCTTCCGATATTTTCTGGTTGGTTATATTAACCCAGAAGTATCTTAGCCTGTCTTGACCCCAAGCGATTGGTGAAAGCAAAACACAATATAACGGTCTTAGATTAATAAATTTAGCCATGGAAAAACATATATAAATTATGAGAACACTTCAAAAGGAAATATATTCACAAAGGAACATGGACCATACCCGGTACCACAAAGACAAATCAAATATACCACTTTTTCATTGAGGAATGGAACGCAAACTTATTAAAATATGTTAGATCATACAGAGGAGAAGAATTAAAAGTAAACGAGGTATCAAGGAGATATAAAGCAGACACAGAAAGAAGTCTAGGCAATACACCAGTTTTAAACATGGCCAACATAGTATAAAAGAAATGGAATAACATAGAGAATGCCATAAAAACATCAACTGAGAAAAATATTAATAAGAAAAAACGCAGAAAAGAAAGGAATGGTTAGATAACGAATGTGATGAAGAATTTAAAAAATAACACAAACTGAAAGAAAAATACATACAAACAGAGAACGATACAGACGGAAAAAATATATAGAAGAAAGAAAATCTGTTAACAAAATGTGCAGAAATAAGAAAAGGCGTCACCAAGAAAATAAAGTCGCAGAAATACAAGAAGAAAATTACAAAAAAAAGAAATTAAACACTTTTATAAAGATGTAAAAGATATACAAAAAACTCGCCAAAAAATATTTACGTCAAGGAAAAGGAGGGAAATTTAATAGGAAAAAAAAGTGGGCAAATACAAAGATGGAAACAATACTTCCAAAAATTACTGAACGATGAACCTGAACGACAGAAAGTAGAAGTACATCGCTGAGGAACCCACAGAAGAAGAGATAATAGAAATTATTTCCAATATGAACAATAATAAAAGCCCCGAGTCAAACAAAATTACCGCAGAGAACCTAAAATATGGAGGACAACAACTAATAACAGAAATAATACAAGTAATCAAAGTAATATAGAAAGCGGAAGAAATGCCACTAAATTGGAGAAAAGCAGTAATACTGCCAATATATAAAAAAGAGGACCCAGCAGACTGTGGAAACTATCGTGATATATATTTGCTGGACGTTACATATAAGGTACTAGTCACGTTAATGAAAAGAAGAATAGAAATAGAAGGAGAAAAAAATTATCGGAAAATACCAATACGGCTTTAGAAAAGACAGGTCAATGACTGACCAAATCTTTATTTTAAAACAGGTACTTACATGTTGCTACGAATACGAAATACTGACCCATATTATGTTTAATGATTTTAAAAGCGCATATGATACAGTAAATCGACGAAAATTGGTAAATGCTTTGAATGAAAAGACCTCTTAAACTTGTAAAACTGACGAACATGACCCTGGAAAGTACAAGGTGTGCAATAGGAGTAGGAGGTGAGGAAACCGAAGAATTTGAAGTCCAAAACGATCTTAGGCAGGGAGACCCATTATCCACCATTCTTTTTAACTTAACCCTTGAAATAGTTATCAGAAACAGTAGACTAAACAGATATGGAACCGTGATCAACAGATCCCACCAAGCATAGCATACGCAAATGCTGTCGTACTGTTAGCGAAAAGCCAAAGAGAACTTACTTAAAAACATAACAGAACAGTTATTAGACACGGCAGGAACAATGGGGCTAAGAATAAATGAAAAGAAGAGTCGGTACATTTAACTTAGAAACAAATATTTAGGAAAAATCCTGGAAAGCTAGAATTACAAACTAAAACAGGAAAAATAACAATAGCCAAAACAGACAATTACATGTTCGGTATTCTCATTTCAAATAGATGCGAGAAACAAGCTGAAATATGTAGATCTTCGTCTAGCAAAGAACAATAGATGCGCAGGAGCTTTACATAATTTACTAAAATCTAAAGAATTGTCATGGGAAATAAAGAAATGTGTGTACAAAACAATAATCAGACCTACAATGCTATACGGCAGTGATACATGTACACTAAATAAGAAAGAACATACCAAGATTGAAATATGGGAACGAAAGATACTAAGAAGAATATATGAGGGCAAAGAGACAGAAGAAGGATGGGAAAGACGAACAAACAAAGAAATCTACGAAATATTTAACGAACCCAACATTTACGAAATAATACCGTCAAAATGGTTACAATGGATGGGGCACTTAGAGAGGATGGAGGACTCGAGGACAGTAAAAAGAGTAGCTTGTTGTACAATACAAAAAATATTTCCAAACTTGCCTCTAGCAAATATGACTATGTCGACAGTGGCGCATCGAAAATTTTAATTTGTTCAATTTCAAAATCGTCTTGGTTTGCGTCTGGGTCTGGGGAGGGGTTCAACTGCTAAAACCCCCCTCGCTGCGTCACTCTATGTCGTCGGCATAACATTACCAGGGTATACCGAGGTCAGTCAATCTACATAGAATTTCGTTTACGGTTATGCTTCACATTAGTGGGGTTAGAACTCCTCCTTGTGGATATCATTCGGTTGTGCAGATGGAGATGGTGTCCTACCATATATGTGTCTCTGCAGTTCTCGAAGATAGCAGCTCAGCGATCCATATAAATGTGGTGCTATCTACTTCTCTATATGCAATTCCTTTTTTAACAAATTCGTGAAACGTGTTGTTAAATGCTCCTTCTATGTCAAGGAAGGCACACGCGACCGTTTCTTTGCTTGTCAGTGCATCCTGGATTCATTCAGCTGAACCAGGGCAATTTATGTAGGTCTTCCTGTTCAGTACGCGTGCTGGCTGTAGTGGAGTGGCACCTTCTCCAGGACTTCTGTTCTGATATAATCATCAACCACCTTCTCTATTATTTTTAATACAAGGGATAAGATGCTGATTGGTCGAAAGGATTTAGGATGTGTGATATTCTTTTTCCCTTCTTTTGGAATAAAGGCGACTCTGACCCTTCTCCATGATTCTAGTATACCGGGTGTCCCAGATTTTTTTGCCCAGCGGATATCTCGGTTATTTAATGATATAAAATTGTAAAAAAAAATATGAATAATATTTGTCTAGTAGCCTTTTAAATTCCACTACATAAAGTTATATTCATCAATCCACCCCATAGGAACAACCCCTAACTTTTTTTTTTCAAATGTCACCCCTATATTTTTTTTCGCTGATATAAATACTCAATTTGTCCCGAATACAACGATATGATTTTTGATATACTTTACAGAGTCATAAAGCCGGTAAAGACTAAAAACCAATGTTGTGGTTAAAGTCATTAATAATTAGTTTACATTTTATCATTTTATTATATTAAAAAATAACAAATCCAATGAATAGGTAAACCTCTTAATATGTTTTTTAAATAATTGAATATTTACAAAAATTGTTCGAAATGGCCCCCATAACTTGCCAAACATGCTTCAAAACGTCGAATGAGTTCACGAGTACATGACGCTGTAATCATTTCTGGTGTAATGTTATTGCAGGCTTGTACTATTTTATTTTGCAAATCTTCTAAATTCAATGGCTGTGTTTCAAATACCACGGTCTTCAGATATCCCCATAAAAAAAAATCTAGAGGCGATAAATCTGGTGAACGCGCAGGCCACCTCAAAGGGCCGCTGTTTCCGATCCACTGATTTTCAAAGCGTTCGTTTAAAAATTGGGTAACTAAATTACTATTATGTGGAGGAGCTCCATCTTGTTGCCACCACATAGCACCTCTTTCTTGTATTGGAATTTCTTCAAGAAGTTCTGGAAGGTCATTTTCAAGAAAGTGTAAGTACCTAGCACCAGTTAACGTACCTTGAAAAAAATAGGGACCTATCAGTCGTCCCTGAAATAATCCACACCACACATTTACTCCCCAGATGGTCTGAAAGTTAGTTTCCCTAACCCAGTGAGGGTTTTCAGGAGACCAATAATGCATATTGTGACGATTTACAGTAGCATTATTGTGAAACCTTGATTCGTCACTCCACAATATCTGGTTCAAAATGTTGGGATTTCGTTCCATTAAATCTTCAAAATGTGCTATTAATGTTATCCTTCTTTCGAAATCTCCAGCTCTAAGTTCCTGATGCAAATGAATTTTAAACGGATGAAAATTATAGGATTTTAGGATTCTTTGTACTGACGACTTACTAATATGAACCTCGTTAGCTAGGTTTCGCGTCGATATCTGGGGATGTACTTGCACATAAGCTAATACATTAATGCACATTTCTTCAGTTCTTACAGCAGCAGCATGTTGACGATGTTTGTCTTTTCCTGGAAATGACCCTTCTCTCATCCTAGTCTCAACATAAGAATATGTTTTACGTGATGGTTGTCGGCGCTCAGGAAACCTCTGTTGATACAAGTGTACAGCAGCACGAGAATTTTTTTGGCACTCACCAAAAATTAAAAGCATATCAACATATTCGTTTGGAGTGAATGTAAAGGGCATTTTGTCTGTTGTTTATAGCTAGCGAACAATTTCAGAAATGGTCTAAGCATATCGTTAGTTAGTTATAGGTAACAAAAAAAAAACAAAAACGAAGCAATTCTAATCAAAATAAAAAGAAAATACCAGGTGATACAAAATTAATGACTTTAACCACAACATTGGTTTTTAGTCTTTACCGGCTTTATGACTCTGTAAAGTATATCAAATATCATATCGTTGCATTCGGGACAAATTGAGTATTTATATCAGCGAAAAAAAATATAGGGGTGACATTTGAAAAAAAAAAAGTTAGGGGTTGTTCCTATGGGGTGGATTGATGAATATAACTTTATGTAGTGGAATTTAAAAGGCTACTAGACAAATATTATTCATATTTTTTTTACAATTTTATATCATTAAATAACCGAGATATCCGCTGGGCAAAAAAATCTGGGACACCCGGTATATCCTAGTTTCAGACTGCCTTAGGATATCCGGATTATGTATGGTAGTAATTCCTCCTGTGCCCGCTGAAGCTGGGTAGAAAATATTCCATCCTCACCTAGAGAATTAAATGGTTGAAAACTGTTCACAACCCACTTTAACCGGTTGCTGCTGCAAATTTGTTTGGCCACTGCAACTGCCTCTTTCGAGAGCCTTCTTATCTTATTTGTGTCCCTTATTAAAGAAGGTGTGCTCCCAGGAAAGTAAGTTTTGAGTAAGAGACGAGCCCTTTCCTCCTTATTCTCCGTGAAGTTTCCATTTGGTTTCTTTAGAGCTATAGCTGTACCCACTCTTTCTTTTGCCAGAGCCCTGTACAGTCTTGTAGTGTTACTGTAAATAAATGCTTGTCATTTTTGAATAGGGTAAATTAATCTGTAGTTTTTTGATTTTCTTTAATTTTGAATTTTTAAAATGTAGAATTATTAAAGCTTTAATGTGTCCCAAATAAAAGTTGTCCTTGTTTAGTTGTAAATGTATTCTCTTTTTATTAACCGACTTCAAAAAAGGAGGCTCAATTCGTCGCAATATTTTTTTTATGTATGTTCAGCGATAATTCTTTAACACGGTGTCCGATTTCAATGACTCTTGGTCCCATATAAATTTGGTCAAAATCTAATAATTGGGTCCATGAGAAAATCCTCAAAACTCTTTATTTTTTTATGTATGTTTAGCGATAATGCTTTACCACCTTATCCGATTTATATGATTCTTTTTTTGTTTGTAAGAGGGTACCTCAGGGGTGGTCCGATATAAATTTGGTTAAGATGTAGTGATGGCATCTGAACGTTTTTGAAATCGGTTTTTTAAATTTTTAATTTCTAATACTTGTTATTTGTTAAAAATTTAACAAGTACCTATTATTATAATTTAATTATACCTACTACAGAAAGGACGTTTGTAAGTTAGTCATTGAAATTGGCATTTTGTTTTAAATATAGTCTTGTTGATTTTTGAATTTCAGCAAATTACAATTTCGATCTTTTTACATTGAATCATTTTATTATCAACCCAACAAAATATAAAATTATTATACTATAAACTGTTAATATTAAATATTATATTTAGTGTGATAATCATGTGTCAACCATATTTTAACTTCCAGCTACTTATTTAAGATTAACTGGAATAGTAATAAACAATTTTACATTCATTTTACTAAAGCTTAATTTATAACCGCCGTAACGTAACTTAAGTACTTAACGTAAGAAGTTGAATTATTGAATTTACGTATACTTATTTATAAAGTTCGTAACGTAACTTAAGAACTTAACGTACCGTAGAAAGTGCGCCAACTTTTAACTAATCAACTTAAGGACCTTACGGTCATACAATAAGATAATACGCTAGTTCAGTGATGATGTAATTATGGTTCCACTCACAATTAAAGTGACAATAGATTTTTTGAGTGCGTTTTGTTCGTTTTGTTTACCTAAATTATATCATTTTTTCCCTTTTATAAATATATTCCTAAAGTAAATAGATAACATGCCCCAAATATAAAATCGTTTAGTTACCAATTACATACCTTTAAACTATTTTTTATGACCTGTAAACAAAGTATTTCGAAATAAATTAAAAACAGTAAAAACGTATATGTCAAATTTAATGAGGTTTTTGTTAAAAGTTTGTTTAGAATTAAATGTCAGTGGAACCAAAATGACATCACACTAAACTAGTGTATTCTGTGTTCAGCATGTGATAACTGTCAATTTTTATTTTTATTTTTTTTATAAATGAATGGACAAATCATTTGTAAACTATTATTCTCCTTTTTTATGGACACATTATATCATGAATGATTTGTGTTTATGTTATAGGGGATAAACTATTTATGAGATATGAATATTGCTACATATATTAACATCAAATCTAGAACTGAAATAAGATACAAAACTAGTTTGCGAGGAAAGATTTAATTCTTATTATTGCTCAAAAACAATCAACATCTTGTGTAAACTATTCTGTTTTATTATATTTTTATGTTATTGCTTTTAAAGTAGTTAATATACTCTTTCTTTATAGCAAAATCATAATTTATGGGTTTAATTTGGAGGTTAGGTATATAGTTAACACTTGTTTATTTATAAGGTTTTCAGTAATTTGATAATCTCCGAAATACAATACGCATGCTCAACTCTTACGTTACGGACATTGAATTTTGGTCAGAACAGGTGAATATCAACCTGAACCTGCAAAGACACATATTAATATATTTTCAAAAGCAAATTTTTTAAATGTAGATAGTTTTTACTCAAATTTTAGAATATTTATATTTTAGGTCTATTGTTGTTCTGGCGGTGCGACTGCTGTACTTGCGAAGGTCTGTTCAGAAGCCCCAAAGTCCATAACCAGATCAACATCACCCCGAACAGTTCTATGAGCGTAGAATGCAACTTTAAAGACAATATTCCGGTGCCAGTAACCGATACGATTTACATAACCAGATGACACGAGGATGGCTTGGATGATGAGCTGCTGGTTTCTGATTCCGAGGAAGATATTTAAATAAGAGATATATCGAGGCGATTCGCGGCCTGTAGACAGTTGATTTTTGAGATGTTAAAGTGTTTAGTATCTCATTAAGCAGAAAATAAGTAAAATGATTTGCGATTTTCTTACGGCGAGAGAGTAAGAGATTTTGTAATTTTGAGAATTACTATTAAAGATATTCGTAGACTAATTTCTTAAAACTGCGTAGGAATACTTTTCTAATGGTTAGAAAACTAGGCAGAAGGTCTGGAAAGCTTTTATTTTTGATTGGCAACCAATTTCTAGTATAAGAATATCAAATATCTAAACTGATGCAATTTAGTGTACAATATGGACTATCAGGTATTGTTAATGCAGATCATGTTCAGCCTAATCCCACTTAAACCTGTCGTTTTATGTGAAAATGAGGATCGTGGAGGAAAAATTACAGTAAGTAAATGTTTGTGACCACCAAGTATTTTATAATTAAGTTTTCTAGCTCTATTTATGCTAATAAAATAAAGTATAATAAAAATCTATAAATTTTGTAAAAATTTGCAGTCTGTTGGTTTCTGACAGCAATAAAACACTTTTTTTTACATCTGAAATAAAAAAAAAACCTAAGTTAGCCCATTCAAAATACTTAAAACTTATTTCAGTCCGGACCTAGTCCGAAAAACATATTGGCTTGAATGACCTAAATGGATAAGTACATTTTGAGGTTAGAAAATATTTCTGTTAAGGAAAATCTAATTTTCCATGTGTTATCCCCAAGAACCACTCGTAAATTTCTTTCCAACCGTCTAACATATATGTACTTTTTAAGCTTCTTCTAGGTACGTAAGCGAAAATCTTACAGTTTATTAGTATAAATCGAATGAAAATCTTATTTAAAAGTTAATCGAAAGCTTATTAAAATTAACGAATGACAATAAAAGGAACTATTTTTGTAAGCAATCTTTTACGTTTTGTTTAATGAGATATTAATTTATAAAAGAGAATAAATGGGCTTATATAGAATCGCCAAATAAAAGCAGTTTGTTGGGAATTAAAATGTGATGTGTTTTATATAAAAGTAGTTTCACATTCATTTTAAGATAACTAAAATTGTTACCTGATAATTATATTGATAAACAATAATTGACTACATATTTATCTTTTGTGAAATAAATGAAGTTTGCTTTATTTTTAATTTGGACTTTTATTTTTACCCATTTAAACAGAAAACAAGCAAATCTACACCTTTATTATTATAATAACATAAAGTTGAAATATCAAATTATTAAAATTACTTATAAATATAGCAGTAAGTTCTTTACCCGCTTGGCTTATAATTGCGGTGTATCGACCATATTTTTCTTTTCAGTTTCCGAGATTTATCGTACCAATAACGATTAAAGTCTGCTTTTAAAACTCTCTAGGAATTTATAGTCTGACACGAGAATGTTCTTCTCTGGTCTGACAATAAATTGTCTCCTGGAATTATCTGTATCTTCATCTAAAGCTACCAGAGTACTTTCACGAGATGCATCGACAAGTTGTGGTCCAAACCACATTATTAAAACCATCGCTTAAGTATTACTGAGTCTAAATTGTCACAAATGGTAAGTATTACCAAGTAACATTTTGGCGACTTTGTTCTGAAAGAAAAAAATTACAAGTACTGGGGGAGATTTTGCCTTTGGCTATTCTTACACCTAACCCAAACAATATACAGGGTTGGGCATAATTGGCGGAACACCCGATTTGTGGCTCAATTATGGATTGTATTGAAAATTAACCCAAATAAAGTTTTTTGTATATTTTATGTACTATTTAATGACGCTTGGGGATTTTCATTATCTGTCATATTTATCAAGATATGACGTCATCGGATGAAATTTTAAATGAATCACCCTATATTTATATTTTTTTCAGATAGATCTTTTCTTTCTGAATCCATTAATGTAAGGTTTGAGGGTCTCCGAGTTCATAACAAAATAGAAAGTAAACATTTATTTAATAAAAAATAATAATTATTATCAATCGAAGTATTACAAATCTCTCAAAGTAAGTGTTCGAAGTGAAAGCCTCCAACTGCCTGACAATATCCTAGTCTATCAACAAATGATCTTAAGGCATTTTGATAAACTTCAGGTGTTATTTCTTGAACAGCAATTCTTATTTTGTATTCCAATTCTTCCAGCGAATGTGGCAGGTCCTTATAAACTACTGATTTCAAATGGCCCCAAAGAAAAAAATCCAGTGGGGTTAAATCCGGTGACCGTGCCGGCCACTCAATATGTCCTCTTCGACCCACCCATCTCTGTGGAAATATTGTGTTCAGGTACTGCCTCACTCTAGCATCGAAATGAGGTGGAGCACCATCTTGCTGGAACCAAATTTCATCAGAAAGTTGTAAGTGATTTCTGTGATTTGGATATAAACGAACTAACTTTGGAACTATCTGCTCTTGAAGTAGTTGCAAATAACGATCACCGTTCAGAGTTCCTCTCATGAAGAATGGTCCAATAATTCTTCCTCTAACTATACCAGCCCAAACATTTATTTTTTGTGGATATTGGGTGTGATCTTCTTCCATCCAGTGAGGATTATGATCAGACCAATACCGGCAATTATGTTTATTTACAAATCCATTGAGACAAAATGTTGATTCGTCGGAAAAAACAATGCTGTTCATCAACATATTATTTCCATTAATGGCATCCATCATTACCTGGCAGAATTGCATTCGCCTATCTGGGTCATCTTCATTCAATTCCTGGTGTAATTGCCCTTTATAGGGATGAAATTTATTGACTTTCAGAATCCTCCTTACAGATCTCTCGCTCATATTATTGTCTAACGCAAGCTTTGGAACTGAAGTTTTTGGTTCTTCCTGTACACTTAGAACCACATTAAGTGCATTTTCTTCATCAGTGGCTGTCTTCTTCCGTCCAGATCTGGGATTATTTTTCACACTTCCTGTTTCATTAAACTTGCTCAAATTTCTGGATACTGTAGATTTAGAAATCGGGGAAATCCTGTCAGGAAATGTTTCATTGAACAAATTACAAGCTTCTTGCAGAGATCTCTTTCTGTCTCCAAACCCAATAATCATCAATAGTGTAATTCTTTCACGTTCACTCAGTTCAACCATGGTTTAAATTAATAAAAATTCTCAATAGTATCAAATGCTAAGAGTTATTTATTTTCGCGTATTGGGCTAATTTGGGTGAAATGAATTGACTTGCAATTAAACTCAACTTGTTTGATTGTCTCCATAAACCAGAATGAATTAAAATCTACAGATTAATAAAAGGTGACAATAGTTTTTATAATATTATAAAAACCAAGTAAACAGTAACACAAAAACATTGGTAGGTATTTCTGTCAGAGATGTACAATAATCGTATTAATAAAACTCAGTGATTAATATCGAGATGTCAATATTACATTTTAATGTCAAAAAGTGAAACCATGGCAAAACAATTGATATTGGTACATTATGATGGCACAGACAACTTTGTGAATAGTTATTCATTAATTATTTAAAAGAACGTTTACCATTTTGTTTTATTATTTTCTGATGATAAGGAAAATCAGAGACCACCCGAACCCCATATTGATGGATTCAGAAAGAAAAGATCTATCTGAAAAAAAATATAAATATAGGGTGATTCATTTAAAATTTCATCCGATGACGTCATATCTTGATAAATATGACAGATAATGTAAATCCCCAAGCGTCATTAAATAGTACATAAAATATACAAAAAACTTTATTTGGGTTAATTTTCAATACAATCCATAATTGAGCCACAAATCGGGTGTTCCGCCAATTATGCCCAACCCTGTATGTATAAAGTAATATAAATTATTTAAAATAAATTACCTATAAAGTAATTTTATATACATGATTTTTAGATTAGAGCGGAACGAACATTTTATAAATAGTTTACTTAAATAATAGATAATTGCAAGATAGAGTAAAATTTTAAGTATTATTTTTGTAACCATAAGAACTGTCGTTTTAGAGCATTTTTGAAACTTTCAACTGAATGTAATTGCTTGAGATTATTATTTAAATTATTGTACAAAAACACAGCGTTATACGAAAACAAAATTGTGTCGGATATTAACATTATGCATTGTTCTACTAAAAATTAATTTGTTGCAAAGGTAAGCTGGTGTAGAGGTAAGTAATATTTTGAAAAGCATCGAATGGACTAAATATTTCAAGAAATTATTTACATTTAGCCATCCTGTTTGAATAAAAGCATGAGAAATATGATCATACTTTCTAAGACCATTGACGAATCTACAGCATGTGCTTTGCACAATTTGGAACCGATGACGATTTATTGCATTTAAACACAGGTAGTAAAAAAATGATAACGTAAGTAAGTTTAGATATGAGTAAGCTTTGACAAGGTTTATCAAATCTTAGGGATTCATCAAAGAGTGATTCTACAGAAGTAGGCAATGCAGGAGGAAATTTTAAAAAATTGCTTTACTGCAAAATACAATATTTCTGTATTTGTTGTATTGACATACATATATAGTGGAACAAAAAACCTACATGGATCAAGATCATTGGGATTTTGTTGGCGTTTAATTTAGAAAAATAATAAAAGTTTGTCCATGGTAATGACATTATGTCCACGAAACTAAGATTGTATATATTTTCGCCAAAATAAGCATCCTAGTGATATCAAAAAAACACCATTGTTGGAAAATAACTAACGTTATTCTCCGCCAGAAGATATCAATTATTTTACTCCTCTTTCCCCTACGCCGATAGTCAGCGAATTTAAATATATTTGTTTCTCTCGTCCCTTATTACATAATTAAATGCTAAACCGCATCTAACATCATGCAACCAACATTACATTTGCGTCTGATAGGTACCAATGGTAGTTCATGACATAATTCCAACCAACCCTGGCACTTCGCGCTCATTTTCTATCTCCTCTCACATACGGTGCAATCTCGGGCATTCTAAAAACAGAAGCAATCTAGACTTAAGGTGAGAAGGGTGTGCGAGTCAACATATGTGAGTTTTCCCGCACTTTGTGGGCGTTAGCCGGCCGGCATTCTTATTTATCGTAAAAGTTAATAAAAACTCATTAGCTCGGGGTGTTATCACAAAAGACATTTTATAAAAGCAAGTAGCCTCACACTAAACATACTCTAGCGTTGTTTTGTGCCTGTGTCGTATCAACAACTTGTTAATTTGTTGTATAGCATTGTAATAAACTCGTATCAGAAGTGGTGTCGCAGTTTTGAATACCCGAAAGCAGTAAGATCTTCATACAGTCCATTAAAAACACACACAAATATAGGGAGAAATCAGAAAATTACCCCATATTTGCGCAACCATAATGGATTGGAAAAAGTTTTAATAAACAAAAAAGTATTTTACTTTGAAAACTAAAGCAAAATTAAAAATCTTCTAGTAAACACAAAACTTAAATTGAATCCTACATTTTTCAAATGATAAATCCAATTTAACAATGCCGAACCCAATAGACTCTTATCAGTAAAACAATATTTGTCCCGTCTTAGTTTCTTTGGCACTGATAAAATCTTTTTAATATCACCTGGAGTCACAAACTGTTTGCTGCTTAAGAGGAAAATTTACATTACAAACTGAAAGACCTGCGGGGCAACGGTAGTTTAGTAGGTATAAAAATTACAACTTAAGGGTGGAGCCTAAATACTACAAAATTACTTCCGAGACTAAACAAAATCCGCATTCATTCATAATTTTAACTATTGCCTGTAGATACGAGGGATACGTATTCCAAACTCTAACGCACTAAGTTGAGACTCATAGGAACCTAAAAATTTTACAACGGCTGCCGACAGACGTTTATCAGTTCTTGTTCTTGAGTGAGTCAGAGTTACCTAAATTAGGGGAACCAGAATCGTATTTGTTTTTCTCGGTGCATTGCGAGATATTGTTATAACGCAATTCGATTTTTTAGAGGGTTCTACATTATTTTTATATTTTAATTTAGTGAATAGGTTTAGTTAGATTAAATTAGATTTAAGAGTATAGAATTGTGAAATATAAATACAAATAACGAAAAAATAGACGATTGGTTCGAATAAGGTAATTTAATATAGGGTATTTATTAATTGAGTGCTAATACTTAAGGGTGTGAATCCTTGGGTGTTAAAGTTTTAAGAAAAAAATAATTATTTTATTTTGCTCAAAAAAAAAGTGTTTCAACTCATGGTGGGTTCCTACCAAATTTCAACAAAATATGAAAAGCAGTTTTAATAAACTGGTTTTTATTTTCTTACGCGAAAAGGGTGCGTCGTACGAAAGTACGTCTATAAACTAAATTTGCTCCAAAATAAATAAGGATTTTAAAGATAATTTTGGTTTTTAGAAAAAGCAGTGGCGTACCATATTTTTGTTCAAAAATATTCAGTTCAAACCCAGTACGGATGTCACTAGTAAAAATTTAGAAGTCTTTTACGACAAAAAGGCGGGATTGAAAGTGAAAGTTTAGTCTGTTGGTACATAATATACTATATTTACATATCTAATTTTTATTATTACACTGAATGTAACATGGCTTTTTTGTTTGCCTTTTTTGGATCAACAAAATATTATTTTAATGATTTAAAATAAATTGTCAGTAATAATAATTATCTGTACTTAAACATATATACAAAGTAAAATCATAAAACGACGCATCAAGAAAGCACCAAATTATTAAACTTTTAATTTACGTAACATGTATTAAAAGTAATTTTAAAAAACCGACTTTAAAATCGCGCAGATGCCATAACCATATCTTAACCAAATTTATATGGGATCACCCCTGAGGTACCCCCTTACTAACGAAAAGAATTATAGAAATCGGACAAGGTGGTAAAGAATTATCGCTAAACATACATAAAAAATGAAAAGTTTGAGGATTTTTTCATGGACCCAATTAATAGATTTTGACCAAATTTATATGGGACCATCCCGGAAGTACCCCCTTTCCAGCAAAAGAGAATCATTTAAATCAAACATTGTGTTAAAGAATTATCGCTGAACATACATAAAAAACATATATACAGACGAATTGAGAACCTCCTCCTTTTTGAAGTAGTTTAAAAAGGATATAATAATCTATATTAATTGTATTAACTAAAAAAACTACTATGTGGAGTTATATATATCTTGGTAAATGAATCTTATATGTAAAAATGTGGGTTCGGTTCCTAGAAAAGTGCAGCCAAATTTATATTTATGATACAGAATTTTTTAAATAAATAAAGTTTTAGGTTTAATTAAACACCAAGTTTTATCAGGATTAACATTTTCTGAAAAAAGTAACATATAAAAAGCAGACTTTTTGTGAGCCACTATATATATTTTAGAGGAAAATCCATATTATTTTAGAAAAATAAATAACATTTTTGTTTCTTAAGAGGAGTATTTACTTGACTGTAAAGCGGAGCATGCAAGGGTTCCGTAGTACCCCACTTTTAAAGTTTATTTTTGACTTATTCTGAAAAAAAAAATATGTGCGTGTAGGTAAAGAATAACTCTATGCTCCTCTGGAATCACTTTTTTAAAATTTGAAATTGTTTTTTCTAAAAAAAAAATACAAAGCTCAACTATTTTTACCCATTTTCTCAATTTTTTTTAGAAAAAACTAAATTGAATTTTGAAAAAGTGGTTTCAGAGGGGCATAGATTTAACCTATACCTACACGTAATGTGATTTATCTTATAGAATATTGTACATGTTTGTCAAAATTTACTAATTTTTTTAAAAAAACAAACATTCTTAAAAATTTTTCTTACATTTTTTAAAACGGTACAAAATACCTTAATCCGTTTATAGTTATCAATTTTAAACAAGAAGGAGACCGGACATCGTCGAAGAGAAAGAACGAAATTAGTAAAGAATTTTAATTTGAATAAAAAGCGTTCTTTCTCTTTATATTTCCTATAAAAACCAATAGATATTTTTGAAATCGGTATTCGGTGACTTTTCTTCTGTTTTATTGCCTTGAAAATGATATGATTTACAATCCGAATCAAAATCTTGAAATTATTATTTGGGAACTTAAAAGAGTGGTCCACTAGTTGGTGTAGCCTTTTAAAACATTTGGTATAATAATAATTATATATCATCAATTACCAATTCCACTGGTAAAATCCTAAATTTAAAATAGTGTATTATAATAATAAGACATTAATCATATCTTAAATAGATCGCCTACTACCATGTTTTAGAAATAAATAAAATAATTCTTAAAGCAAAAAAAATATTTAAAATAATTTAAGATTCCTTGGGTTATGTCAATAAACATTAAACAAAATTTCTCACAAATTATTTAGTATTCTGTCCTGTACTTCCATGTCTCTATTAGCTTCGCTGTCAACAAGTTCTGACGAGGCATATTGCATATAAAATTTTTTTATTTTATTTTGTATCTTTTCTTCCCAAAAGCTGTCATTATGAGATATTTTCTCCACTTTTATTCCTACAGAAGTCCGAAAGCACAAAATGCAAAAATCTATTTGTGTTATGTGCAGCTAGCCCTGAATTTGAAAATACCAATAGTGGTTCTCCTTAATGGTATTGTCCTTTTTCCAAAAAGTTATTTCTCTACTGCGTATTTCTTCTTCTACAGTCTCAGCTCCATATGGACATTTTAACTCTATCATAGTGTTTTGTTTTTTTTTTTAATTCCATCCAGACTGGCAGCAACATAATCAAATTTGAATTCAATAAAATGTTCACATTTAAAAACTTTTACTTGCAAATAAATTTCCAAATCTTATTTTGCTCTGAATTTATGGTCCATGTCATATCGGGTGGCTTTAGAAATAAATAAAAGATTTTAGGAGATTTTTTTACAAAGTTCTCTAAATTTTAAAGCAGTGACTCGTTTCCGTCTTTTATTGTGCCACAATGTACAATCAGCTTGTCACAATCGTTTTTTTCTCATTTATAGACATTGGCTAACTCTTTAGAAAATTTTCTCTTGCAGCACGCCTCAAAGGGTGCGACAGATCAAAGCCATGCGCGAAAGCAAGAAAAAATATTTACATTACTTTAATGGATTGAAGAGATATTAACATGCTGGAATTAATAATTATTGTTGACTTGAAGAGGTATTCATTAAACAAAAACATATTTATAATTAATATCTCAGTGTATATCTTCCAATTTCGGATATATAATATATATTTTTTAATAAATAAATGATAAAATTAATTTAATGTAATTGAGCGAAATTACTGTATGTAAAAAATAACATGAATTCAAATCACTTATGTACTGTTTATCACTAAATAGTAGAAAAAAAGATATTTATATTTTGTTGGTGTCATCTTCTAGAAGAAAAAGCTTTTAACGTATTTCTGTTTTTATTGTTATAAAAATAAATACTCCTGTAGGCAAAAATTAAATATATGGTTCTCTTCTAGCATTTTTTAACATTTCTATTTCTTTTCGTTTCTTTTCTTAGATTTTTTTCAAAAGAGACTGATTCATATGTTTAAAGTGACTCCAGAGAGGTATGGGTTAAGCCTTTACCTGTACTTACATGAAATTTCTTTTAGTAAAATTAAAAGATAATCCGTAAAATTGGTCTACTATGAAACCCTTGCATATACTATATATACCAATCTTAGTATTACAGAAATAAATTACGTAAAAAATAAGGTGTAAAATATGTAAAATTTATTCATCCCTCGTAAAATATCAGTAAAATATATTATAAATTGTTTTCATTCACAAATATTAATTTCTTGAAAATCTAACAGAGGCGCCACTTTCCAGACGAAAAATCTTGCAATGTAAGGGTTTCGTAGTACCCCACTTTTAAAGTTTATTTTTAAATATTTTTAAAAGAAAAAAATATGTACGTGTAGGTAAAGGTTAAATCTATGCTTCTCTGGAACCACTTTTTTAAAATTCAATTTAGGTTTTTCTAAAAAAAATTGAGAAAATGGGTAAAAATAGTCGAGCTTTGTATTTTTTTTTAGAAAAAACAGTTTCAAATTTTAAAAAAGTGTCTCCAGAGGAGCATAGATTTATCCTTTACCTACACGCACATATTTTTTTCTTTCAGAATAAGTCAAAAATAAATTTTAAAAGTGGGGTACTACGAAACCCTTGCATGCTCCGCTTTACAGCCAAGTAAATACTCCTCTTAAGGCCAAACGAAAACAAAATTTTGTTTTTTGGAAGTAAACATTATTTTCAAAATTAACCTTCTCTGTTTCATCCGAAGAAATACTTTGTATTTTTCCAACATAATAGAGCTTACATCTCGATGGATATTCTACCGGAGTAAAATCTCCAATACATTAAATAGTTTTTCTCTGTGGCAAGAAAATCTCTTACTGATATGCTGCATTATTTTTTCTGTAATTAATGAAATATAATAAAAGACTTCATAATTTAAATGTATTTTTTACCAATTTTTTTTTTAAAGTATCATCAAATAAATTATATTTAAAATTATTTTTAAAACTAATAGATAATAAATATGGCCATTCTTATGACATATCACAATAAAATCACTTTAAATACTAGTCAAAACGATTGCACTAAAGTTTCAAATATGTTATCACCACATCTGCACTGGGTCGATGTTATATCTGAAAAAACAAAAACAAAAACGTTAGGCCTAAATCAAAGGTTTTATTTAATTTTTAATCGTTTAAACGTAAAAATTGTCCAATATAATGGAAATTATTGGTTCCAACACCAGTCGTTTTCTTTTTTACGGGTATTTGACTAACTAAAAGTTTATTTAAGCTAAGTTGTAAAAAGAACGCGAATTTTGGTTGACAGGTGAAGTGTCCTATGTCATTCGTTTAAAAACAATCGACATTTTTATCAAATTTTATAATTTCTTCATCATTCAACACTACGATCTTACCCCCTAAAGGATTTAAAAAACTCGATCGAGTTGATTTTTATTTATTGTCGGTTTTTGAGCTCATTTGAACTACTGCCAAGACAAATTTATTGTTCTGTGTGTTTTGTGATTGCGTTATGTATTCTGTGGCTGCAATACTAACTGATTGTGATTATTAGGCATTCCAAACAAATGAATTACCAGTGGGCAGGTTTGGTATATCTAAGGGTGGCGACATATGGTGTATTCTATCTACTTTACGTAAAATCATGAATAATGCATTACATTTAAATATTTTATGTCAAACACAATAAAAATAATATTTAAAAAACCCACCTATACATTTTTTCATAAATTGGCAGGCTTGGCGACTACTACTTTGAATAAAAATAGCGTCCAAGTTGCAAGACTATGTCGCTACCCCCTTAGATATACAAGAATTTCCCACTGGCACCTATTGTTTGACAGGTCGTTGGAATGCCTAATTGTTGTGCTAATGATACAGATAAAAGTGAATAGCCTAGATTAAATATTGTAATACTGCTTTAGACTATAAAATTTCTTGTCACTCAAATGGTTAAGTACGATATTGAACTCTAATTTTAAATTTGACAGTAGAATCTTTGACATATATTCTGTGATGCTATAATGCATTAGAAAGAATGTTTGTCTTTTAAATTTAAGTAAAAATATATCAAACCTAATTACCTTAATTGATCTTTGCAGACTGGAGAAGCAGGTATTGACATTGTAGAAGAAATTATCGATACTGAAGAACAGGAATCGTTCTTTTTATAAGGATAAGTCCATGGACTTGGTTCGAGACGAAATTCTTCGTTTGTATTCGATGTATTACTAGTTTTATTCGTTTCTTCTTCTTCTTTATTCTTGGAATTCAGTCTCCTAAAGAATCATTTTTTTTAATAGATATTTGTGTATTAGGAGCAGAAAGTGCTACTTTGCTCAACAATTTATCTTAAGTAGCAAATAGTTTTAGGCTCGAATTATACACAAGATATTTTCTACGATCACACACTAATACCAAATTCAAATTTTACTACAAGATTACGTACAAATTGAAAACGGTTCAATCTATTTTTAATATTTCAATTATTGTTGTAATATAAAAGGAAATGGGTTTGAATATCAGATGTTTAACTAAAATATTCAGATTAGTCTAAATTTTATTTTAATATACTGATTAGTTTTAATAATGCAAATGAAAATAAGCAAGCGATAAAGTTTAGCGCTAATAATGTCAAATTATCATAAATCGCAGATAATAATAAATAACTATTTTCTTACCTCAAAATTCTACCTAACGAATTCGCTTCTTCTAGACTAGTATTCGTTTTCTTCTTTTCGAATCGTTTTCCCCTGCTATCTTCTATAATTACGTGTCTGTCAAATGGCGTGTCGTAATCTACTTCTAGTATGGTCGAAAAACTGTGCGGATTGATTATTTCTAGTGTGGTTATTATGACGCCGGCTAATAGGCAAACACCACCTAAAAAATTTAAAAAATATTCAATCAACAGGTCAATGTGTACAATAAATGGACAGCGTTATGCAGAAAACTACCAACCCACAATATACCAGATATTAGGTTGAGTGCGGATTTGGGTAATAAAATACACATTCTGCATTTTGTAAGAACCTACCAAGCCTCAGTTAATTATATACCCCATATAACTATAAAATGCTAGCCCAAATCCTATAGTTTTCTTAAACGAACAAAAACTTTAGAGCTGATTATCCCAGTATATCACTATTGAGGGTTGGTAGCTTCTTTGCTTAACGCCGTCCAAATAAGTCTGATTTCGGTACAAGCTCTGACTCTCTGATTCAAATAGAGGTATATCTTTTTAGAATACCTAAAGCTAGAGAGAGCATTTAGATAATGGTTGTTTTAAACCTAGCACTTTTATTAAAATAAACTCATGTACATCAAAATATTTAACATCCTTCTATAGATAACAAAACAACTTTAATTCAAAATAACTAATATAGAAAATATGAAGACAAAGACACCTCTTAACCAACTGACAAAACCAAACAATTTCTTAATAAAGAAAAGTCTAGTAACCGAAGAGTTTAGTGAATATGGCCTACCCACAGGCGCTCAAAATTTTTCTAGAACAAATCGGCATGCAACCATTCATTGGTGAACTACAGGATGTAGAAATGCAGCTACAACACCACAAGACGTTGAGTGAAACATTGATTGCAGTCCAGGAATATTAAGCAGCATAAATATCTAGATCTTCTTGCGCAAAATTGACAAAAATTAAATTTCAGGAAAGAGAAGAGGCTACTACTAATAGAGAGAGAGAGATATGCTTTATTGTCGTAAAAAAATTTATAAAAATTTTATAGACAAAGCGTGTAACTTAAATACTAAACATATTATAAAAATAACTAAACAGCAGACAAAACAAACAGGAACAAACAGACAAAATAGGAATAACAATTGCAATGGATATGCAATATCCGTCATTATAATTATTCTAATTTAATTTTTAAATTTAAATTTAAATTTAAACTTTAATATTTAATTATTTAATTAATGCCATTGTATGTGGAACTCAAATGTCTAAGGTACGTTATAAAATTCTGCTACTGTGTAATATGGTCTTTCTAGAAGAAAAGCTTTAGCCAGTCTTCGGAACTTATCGTATGTATTTATAGATTTTAATTGCATCGGAAGGTTATTATACAATTTTTTGGCATTGTAGGTAATGGAATGTTTTAACAGGTCAGAAGTGGGCATTGTTAAATAAACATCAGTCTCTAAATTTCTTGTAGGATATCTACGAGTCGGTCTTTCGGATAAATTTTGAATGTGCTTGCGAACTAAGCAGACGGATTCGAAAATAAATAGAGCAGGAAGGGTTAGAATTTTGAAATTTTTGAAGTAATTTTCGCAATGTGTCCTACTACTTAAACCAAATACATAGCGGATTGCTCTTTTTTGCAGTTTAAAAATAGATTCGAAAAGGTATAAGCTACAAGAACCCCAGAAAGGTAAACCATAGCGAAGGTGAGATTCGAATAAGGAAAAGTAGGTTATTAATGCAGTAGAAGGAGTCAGCTCTTTAGAAACCGATTTAATGGCAAAACATGCGGAGGATAATTTTTTTGCTAAGGTATCTATATGAGCAGACCATTTTAGAGAATCGTCTATATAAAGACCTAAAAACTTGATTGAAGTCACTGTTTGGATCAGATTATTGTTTAAAGTTATAGGTTGTAAAGTACCTCTGTAAGACAATGCTACAGTTTTACTGGTGTTGAAACAAAGTCCATTCGAATCAGGCCAGGACTTAATAGTCACTAGATCTTCACTTATGATAGATTGTAATGTCTGCATGTTAGAATTATTCCAGGTTACACTGGTGTCATCAGCAAATAAAGTAATTCTACCACTTATTCTTAAGTCTGTGATGTCGTTGATGAATAATAAAAACAAAATTGGACCTAATACTGATCCTTGAGGTACTCCACTGCTTATTGCTAGATTTGTAGAATCCTCACCATTCGCCCGCACCTGTTGATTTCTATTTTCTAGGTAAGTTTTAAACCATTGTAAAGGAGAACCCCGTATGCCATAAATTTGTAACTTATTAATTAAAATATCATGATTTACACAATCGAAGGCCTTTGCGAAGTCACAAAATACTGAAGCGGTGAAAAGTTTATCATTAAGTGATGTGTATATTTCATTAAGAACGGAAAACATTGCGTCGCTAGTGCATTTTTTAGGTAGAAAGCCATACTGATGAGCTGTGAGGATGTTATGCTTGAAAAGAAAGGGCAAAAGACGGTTTTTCATTAGCCGTTCTACTATCTTCGATAAGGTAGGCAATAACGCGATAGGTCTATAGTTACAGGTTTTGGTTTTGTCGCCACCTTTATGAAGTGGGATTATTATAGCTGTTTTTAGACAGTTAGGAAAGAGACCAATTTCAAAGGATTCATTAATCAGTAAAGTTAAAATGTTGATTACTACATCCGGTATATTTAGAAATATTTTGGTGGACGGCCTATCAATTCCACAGGAAAATTTATTTTGGATGTTGTTTATGGTTTGCACTAGTTCATGCTTGTCTACTGGTCTTAGGAAGAAACTTTCAGTGATTCTTTTAGTAGGTAGGAGGAAGGAGAGAGCATCCTGACTCGGAGCTATGTTAGATTTGATATTTTTACTTACATTTACGAAATAATTGTTTAGTTCATCTGGGCTAGGAATTACACTGTTTGAAGAACGGGTTTTATTCCTTAAGTCATTTATTATAGACCAGGTTTCTTTGGAGGAGTTTTTAGCTCTTGCGATGCGATTTTTGTAATAGTTTTTCTTAGCAGATTTGGTGATTTTCCGATACAATATTCTGTAGTTATTGATATAGTTTAATATTAGGGGATTATCTGTGTACTTTTTAATATACATGACTGACCTCATATTTTTAGATGATGTTCTTATTCCTTTAGTTGTCTAACATTTATGACATTTAGTTTTAATGGGGCGAAGGGGGAAAGCTGTATTGAAACACATAATTATTTTATTTAAGAAGTCTAAAAATTTAGAGTCAATATCTTCAGAAAGACCATTCCAATCAGTAGTTCGACATAAATTATAGAAATTTTTGAAATTATGCTTAGAGAAAATTCTACCTAGCTGACGAACTTTTTTTGGAGCTGTACGGGGTATCAAAAATTTGGCAAATACTGCTTCGTGGTCTGAGAGACCTGAGCTAATTACTTGGTGCTCTACATCAACGGGTTTAAAATCAGAGACTACGTAATCTATAATTGTAGATGTTGTTTCTGTGATTCTTGTTGGAGAATTTACGTGCATAGTGAGACTGAATGATTCAAAAATATTGATCAAAGACTTTTGAGTAGCACATACATTAGCAAAGTCAATATTAAAATCGCCGCATAAAATTTTCTTACTTTTTATAGGCAATGCGTCAAGTAGATTAAGAAGATTCTCTAGAAAGAGGTGAACATTTGATTTAGGTGTTCTATAAATACAAATAATAAACAAATCAATGTTTTTGTTGTTTTTCAGCTTGTAGAAAGTCGTATTTAGATACAGCAGAAAAGTCCTTGTCTAAGGATAAAATTAGAGTTCCACCATGGTCTGTATTACTTCTATCATATCTGCTGACGATAGTATATTTTTCGACAAAAACTGGTTCACCAACTTGTAACCAGTGTTCTGTAATAGCAACTATTTGGGGAAACCCTAACTTTTCCAAAAACAAATACAATTCATCAGTCTTATTCCGTATTGATCGAATATTAATTAGAACCATTCTTAATTTACTGTCGGCATAGCCAGTAAGACTAGTTGGGGATTCTAGTTCCCCAGGACACGTCGTATTAATTAAAAACTTTTCCTAGGTGAATCGGCAGTAAAATAACGATGATTGTACTCCCTTTGCTTCTGCAGGTGTATTCTTCGTTCCGCGGATATATATGCTCTATAGGTAGAGAGATCGTTATCCACTTCAGCTGAGCCAATACCATATAGATCATGATAATCATAATAAATGGTCCGTAAAGCTCCAGGATCAACAGGCAGTCCCTCAGAGGCTAGAAACACTTTTACACTTGTGTTCGTGTAGCCCTCATGACAGACAGATGATGGTTGGTCATGAAGATAGGCGAGGAAGAGCTTGAGGGACGATAAAATAGCCGGTTCTCTTAGTCTAGCCATCAAATAACGATCATTGCCGATACACGATTTTTTTGTTAGTCGGACTCTAGGAGGAGTCAACGGGTCCAGCGAGTTATTTGTGTTGTCTTGTGATTCTGCTATGATCTGTAAGGACTTACCATAGGAGAAGTTGTTGGATTTACAAGCTGAGATAGCATGTTTGTCGGAAGAGATGGTCAATACTTCAGGTTGATTTGGGCATATACTTTTACTTAAAGAATATTTCCCAACTTACTTATTCACAAATCTGAAATATCCTGAAAATATGCAACGAAGCAGAAGATGCTTCAATAGCATAAGCATTGGGCACATTAAAAAAACTCGTAGAAGCAGTGCTCGCTCTGTAAATTGAGAGTCGAAGAATGAGGCTAGAATTCACCTAGATTAACCTTTCGAACTCTGTCACGAAGTAACAATAACGCCATGCAGTGGCTAATGAATTTTAAAAAACCTGAAGGACAAGTTGCTAGATGGATAGAAAGACTGCAACAATATAACGTCGAACATCGAAAAGGCCGTCTCCATAGCAACACAGACATCCTTCCAATCAACCCTGTTTAGAACGAAAAAGTCGACACTCTAAGTCTCAAAAAACGAGAGAAGCCGGTTAAAGTAGTTAGTCTTCAAGCAACCGATATCAAGCCAGAAGGTGACGAAGACGAAATAACCCTTGAAAGAGTCAAAAGAATGACAATGACTTGAAAGTTATCTGAGAATGGCTCAAAAATGGAGATATCTAAATATAGTGCAACTTGGTACTTAGCTCAGCGTGATTCCCTGTACCTTTACGATGGCCTATTGCATCGGAAGTTGAAGAGCACCGATAAAGTACATATAGACCACCAATTAATACTAATGACCTTCCAGATGGAGAAGCTTCATAGCAGCCATTTAGGAGGAGATTTTGGTACTGGCACATTCGAGTAGATTTACCACAACAACAAGAGCATTTTAAAACTGATTTACAGTAGCAACAAGAAAACTGATACAGAGCAACAACAAAATAATTTAAAAGTTAATTTTGAATGACAAGAAAATGCTAGAGAAGAGTCGGAAAGACAAATTAAAACTGAAATGGTTGAGTTAGAAAGAAGAATTCGTAGCCAAGCTTTGGTGAGCAACATTGAAGTTGAAAACACTACCTCGCCTTCATCTTTAACCGAACCAAGCCACACTTAAAAGTTCTAGATGTTTCCAGATACTAAATGAAAATAATATATGACTGTTCTCTCTTATATTCGTATATTAATCCAAACAGCCGCATATTACTGCAAGGTGTAGGGTAATGAATACCTACTAATAAAATTTACATACTGTAGTCTACCTCACCCAGGTACCTTAATAACACCTGCACACAAAACAAACAAAAAGTTGTCAGTATTTTTGACGTGACCGGTATATCTTTATGTATTTCGACTCGCTGAATCCAAATCTAAAGTTCGTTTGACCCGTACACCGTCAACTTTGAAAAACTCTGCCGATGTTCGTCATCTTTTTCGGTTTTTGACGGTGTACGGATCAAACGGATCTCAGATTCGGATTCAGCGGGTCGAAATACATAAAGATATACCGGTCACGTCAAAAGTACTGACAACTTTTTTTTGTGTGCCAGTGTAATTTATTAATTCCATTTGGTAAATAAAATATTGCATTCTTAATAAATTCAAAATCATTCATTTAACGAAAAAATTTCCCAAATAATTAAATCTTATTTACAATACCTAATAAATACTACCTATAACCCTGTCCGTAAGAGATCCAATTTTCGTGCACGTGTCTGGGAATCCAGCCCAAAAACCGCCGTATAACATATATTTTGTTACTAAGTGGTAATCATTGAAACACTTAACGCACTTATCTTAAGTGCGTTTGAATAGTAACCCAAAATTGTCAAGGCAAGTAATAAATCTGCCACCCTCTTTTCCTACTGGAACCAAGACAAACTGACGTCACAAGAAAAAAAATTAAAACGGGTATAAAAACTCGAACCCGAGGGCTCAAGAATTCATTTATTTTATTATTTTACATTCAGGCAATGCCTTTATTATTTGTATCCAGTTATATAGTCTGTAACTTTTCTAAAACGCTCTTTCTAAATGACGTCTATCATACAGTACCTACTATCCCCCGAAGGTGTCAAAGTCTTGACGCCCAATGTCCCGCCGTCCTACTTCTCTACCTTTCTACGTCCCAACACTATCACTTACAACACCACTTTTGTATTTCCTACCATTATATTCATCCCGACGCTCAACGTCCAGTCACCCTACTTCCCTACCTTTCTACGTCTCCCACGCTGTCACGTCCTACACCACTTAAGTATTGTCTACCTTATATCTATCCCGACGCTCAACGTCGCACCGCTCTAGTTCTCGACGCCTGTCGTCCTTAAATATTTTCTTCATAATATCCTTGGCGACACCCTTCATCGCGTAGCACCATTTAAGTATTTTCTACCGTACATCTGTCCCGACGCAGTACCGTAATAAATACCTTTCTCTCCACCACGACGCTAGGCGCCTCGACGCAAGGCGATGCTTAACGCTGTGTTTTCAATGATGAGTCAAAAGATTTATGTAACTTTCTTTGAGATATAACCGGGGTTTCGTTGGAATAAGGGCCTGACATTTGCTTCAAAATATTATCAATATAACCAATAAACCACATGGCCTTCAGTCATTCACCCCGAAATATAGTTAAGATAGACATCCGTTTATGATGGATGAATTTAAGTATTTCAATTGAAATTATGAAGATCAACATTAAGAAATATACAGGGTTGTATTAAGTAATTTCAATAGAAATTATAAAAACAATATTTTAGAAATATACAAGGACGTGCTATCTTGGATATACAAGGACGTGCTATCTTGGATAAATTGTGCAAACCGAGATGGTAAAATTTTACAGTAAGTTAACCAACTGGTGAATACACTGTTCGTTAGCTGAAGGGGGGCACCTATATGTTAAGCTCTATTCTATTAGGTTTGAAACAAAGTTTATGTGAAATCAATGCCGTAAGATAACCAACTGGCGAATTGACGATGTTCGCTAACTCTGTTGGTTATCAACTTAAATGAAATATATATTGATAGCAAATGAATATGGTCTGTGTTTGAACGGGACTCAAGTGAGATCTCAGTAAATAGTACCAATTGTAATATAGTTTGCCAATTATTGCATAACATTTAAAGTATTAAAAATAAAAGAGTTTAAATATGAATTTGTATGTTTTATTTATCAATTTGCACCAAACTTTGCATCAAATCCTGGTTTATCTAAATTAACATTATCACAACGTGGGTATATAAATTAAAAATTAATTAACTAGACGATCACTTCTACTACTAGAGGAAAAAGGCCAAATAAAGTATATAATTTAAAGTAAAATAAAATTAAGAGGCAATTAAAAAGATTTTAGACGTTGAAACAACGATAAACCTTTGGTACTGGGGGTGAGCAGTTACAATACTTGAAAATACATTTGTTCGATTCGTTTTTTTATCTAACAGTGTGTACACACGTACAATATTTGATAATTTCTTAGTAAATTTAGATTTGCTGATGACATTGTATAGAGGCTAAAACAAATGGAGAATCTCAGAAAAATAGTTCATATACCTACAACAAGCTTCCTGGGTGCGTCTGCTTGAAAACGAGAGAAACTGAAACTCCCTAGGGAATATATTTACTTTATTTTCACTTTCCAAAGAAATTGGCATTCTTGAAATAACGTGAAAGCCAAGGGAGGAGACAGAAGATGGTGCAAATGAATACAAATTTGCCAGATCGTTTTAGATCATCCAACCAATTAGAAACCACGAACTTTTGACAGCAAATAACACTGCTGGAACTTTAAGATTTTAAGTTTTTATGATTTGTTTTTATCGGCAAACTAAAAATTCAAATCTCTTGGCAAGAATTCAAGTTTGATTATCTTTTTAAATGTGTTTGAAACTCTACGGTTGTAGAAGATATTGCTTCCTAAATAATTAATCATTTTAAATACATGAGTCAAGTCCAAACAAATTTGAAACATGTGAAGCAGTTCTTACTATTGGAAAAGGGGTGTATTACCTATATATTGTACGGGGATAGTTTTACACTACTACCCTTTATAATTAAACAAGTTGTTGCTCCATTTTTTGTAATTTTGTTTAAAATTTATTTGTATTAAATAAAAATTACTCTTATTATTTTCGCGTCTAAATCCATTTTAAAGGGAAAGTAAATACCGCAAATGTAAAATATTCCTGAAAACTACTAACAGCAGCAATGAGGTTATAGTAATATTTTGATTTTTATTTATTTAAATTCTGACACGAACTGCGCACGCTTATGAATTGAATTCTCTCGTAATTTTCATTTTCTCTACCTAAAAGTAGAAAAAAGTTTTGAGAGATATTTCTCCACCAATTTTGGTAAATTCGATTTTTACAAGAATACGAATTTTTCCAAGGGCTTGAACCAGTGTAAGTAATATGGGTCAAGGTAGTTTATAGATATAATATGTTAATTTAAACCCCTCTAACGATAGGTAAATTTGGTCCCAACATATGTTGAATACCTGAACCATTCTGTTTCAGTTGAAAGTACCTGCTGCAGGAAATCATTAAGAATTCCAAGTATTACGGTATGTTTATCAAATTACGAATAACTATCAACAAATTCCATTAAATTGAAGTTCTTATCACTTTCTGTATAACTTTTCATTAACCCGCAATGGCACTGGGCCGCACAGGTTAGGTATTCTTGTTTTCTCGTCTTATGTACCTATCTGTGCTCAAAAGGTAAAAGCGCATAAGTAAATTTTTGGTGATATTAGCATTAGCTCGGTTGTTTGTTCAAGCTCCATTCCCTCTTTAAACTCCAAACGATTTTTCAGCACTCATTTATTTCGATTATTCATGGTACCATTGTATAAAGACTACTAGTAGTATCACCGAATGGAAGTTTCATTGGAGCCAAATAAATACTACCAATAGATGACACTAGTGAATTTGGATAAGTCGAAAGTAGCTTGTTGAAAAAGTGTTGATTAACCATCTACCCCATCTTTTGCGTTTTCGGACATATTATTTATTAAGTAACCTAATATTAATTTTTGACGTACTATTAGCCCCAAAGAGTTAGTCAGGTCTTTATCAAACACCCTGTATAAATATCTGTAAACCATTGTTTTGTAATGACAATGAGTAATGACACCTTGAAAAATACGAATTACTTATTAAAAATGCAAGCACACAATTTTATACATATTCAGATAACCTAATAAGGCATAAAATTTACCTTATTTGCACTGCAAAAAATATTGAGTTACATACTTACTTATCCAGGACACACTCTGTATATTTAATGCATGAAATTGGTCAAATTTATTAAACCAAATTGTTCTGTTTCAAATATATTACGTAGATACTACGAGGAATGTAACCTCAAACAAACCTTGAGTTGATAAAAAATTTAGTACTGTATATATTAGTTCTGATCAATATGTCAATTTGATTTATCGTTAAACGTTCGTTTCTGACAATTCTTGCTATTTTTTTATTATATAACTATAAATTAAAAAAAAAAAAAATTTACCTGCTATGAGTACCAGCCAATAACACCAGCCGAACGAAAAATTCAACTTGGTTCCTTCTACGTAGACGACAAGCGGTGGTTCCGGTAACATTCCGAAATACCCACATACAGTTGACAACAAAAGGAACCCACACAAGGTCATCAAAAGAGCTCCGTATCTCGGCACCACAATTAGCATAAGGTTCATTAACACCCATGTCACAAAAGAAGTCCTAAAAAGAATAAGCGGTATTATAAATGTAACGAGGTCATTGCACTGAGATTAAGTACTCAGATTGATACATCTAGAGTGACTTGTTCAATTTTACATGCATAATAATTATAGAAATGTATGATTAATGTTAAATAATTTCAAATTAAAAAATATTACAAAACATGAACTAGTACTATTTTAAAAATGGCTAAATAAAAGTTTAAATTTATTAAAAAACCGAGAATTGTAAGGGAAACGCCTAAATTGACATGGGTAAAATGACATATCGACCACACTGCTACTTTAAAACGTGACAACGCCGCCCTAAATAGCTAATTGCAAATCTTTTTTATCCATGACCATAGTCAAGTTTATTCAACGTGTCAGTCGGCACGTGTCTGGACTAGATAACAAAAAGTAATTTTTTTTTTCGATCTAAAAAAATATTTGTGCGGTCACCTAATTTGGCTGTAATAATTGATGAGGTGCAATAAGCCTAAGTTGACTTAGTAAAGGTAAGCAAATAGACTTTTTTCTTTATTATAATGTAAATAAACTTTTAATTTATTAGTTTTATTTACATATTTTTAAATAGTTTCTAAGAAATCATTGTTTTGGATAAAATGACATGACATACCTATGTCATTTTAGGCTAAAGTGTATTTTTATTTTGATTTCAGATAATATGGTTCGCAAATACTCTAGAAAATCGGCCCTTCAAAATTGAACCGAGGCGGCGTTTAAAACATACGGTGTACCTCAAGAAGCACTCAGGCACAGAGCACAAGATAAAAATAAAAAATAAAAGGTTTCAAGAAAGGCTTAGGTCGTTACCAATCTACATTTTCTAAAGAACTTGAGCGCTAAATAGTAGAACATATTAGGAAACTGGAAACATACATGTTTGGGCAATTGGGTTAAATACAAAAGGAGTAAGGCAGTTGGCATTTCAGTTAGCTGAAAGGAACCAGTTACCCCACAGATTTAATAAAATGGCTGATTGGGACTGGCTTTTTTGGGCTTTAGGACACGTAACCAAGACATTAAACTCAGAACTCCCGAAGCCACATCAGCGGCTCGTGCGCAGGGTTTCAATAAACCGCAAGTTCAGAAATTTTTTAGTATATTGGAACGTACCGTGGCGGAATATAATATCACATTTAATCGTATTTATAACGTAAACGAGTCAGCGCTTTCCACGGTTCAACGTCCACAAAAAATAATGGTCACGAAAGGCAGAAATCAGGTTGGTGCCATTACGAGTGCAGAACGGGGGGTACACACTACTGTAGTTTGTGCCATGAATCCAATATAGTTCAAAAGCGTGTTTTTGGGACATGCTATTACGAAAATTATGTTCAATAGCTCATTCGATTCGAAATAATGTCTAGATCAATGTGTGAAGAAAAATTTTGCAATGCATAAAAAATTGCAAAAGTTATAAACAATTAAACACCTCAAAAACATGGTGTTTGGTTTTTCGCATATAGTTTGTAAACTATAAATATTTTTGTATTTTTTAAAAAAGATCCTTAAAAAGGAGGAAATTTGCTATAAATAAGTTCCGACTCCAGGAACTGTACCTCCATTATTTATAATTTTAATTTAACGCTCAAAGTAGCCTTCCGCGCGCCATTTTTAGGTTGCGCGCACGGTGTCGAAACCGAGTACGTTACATAAAATATTTTTTTAAGTTATTAAAATTAAATTTAAAAATTTAAAAAAATTACGGTGTATTCTAAACACTTAGAAGAATTCATTCCCGTTGGAATTTTTCATAAAAATTAATTTTCCAACAAATTTCTCTCATCATTACAAATTGATAAAAATATTAAATAATTACCGTAATTTTTTTTCAATTTATTATATTACTGTTTTAATGTCGAGAAAAGAAAAAAAAATGTTTTTCCTCCATTTGTTTATAAATTTTTTATAAACAAATGGAGTATTTAACTTTTTTTTCAATTTTTTTTTTATTTTCTAGACAATTGCCAATTATGATTTTAAAAAAAAATGTTTTTCTTAATAATTACTTTTAATTGCTTTATAATTGTTTTTTAAATATATTTATTGTTTAAATTATTAGTTTGTTATAAACAAATTCCCAACTTTGGTTTATTTTTTCCTGAAAGAAATAAAAATTCCAAAAATGACTTTCATTTTTCATTAAACTTAAAAAAAGTCAATTTTTATAAACAAATATAAAAAACAACAAATTGACAATAGGTACGGAATTGACAAATGACTTATCTGAGAGATAATTTCATTGTCTACAAAAATGACTTGAATGTTTATTGTCGTATTTCCAATAGTTTAAAAGTTATATCAACTTTTAAGTCAACAAATGGATCAGCTGCTGCAACTTTGATAGTACGTATATTTTCAAAGTTTAATAAAAAATGGAATAAAATTTTTTCCGTAATTTTAATGCCCTAAGTCGTTTTTGGAATTTTTATTTCTTTCAGGAAAAAAATAAACCAAAGTTGGGAATTTGTTTATAACAAATTGTTAACTTAATAAACAATGGAATTATTAATAAAAAAAAATTTTTTGCTGTCACTTTGTAGAGGACTGTCAATTATGATTTAAAAAAAAACACTAATAATTTAAACAATAGATATATTAAAAAAACGATTATAAACAATTAAAAGTTATTATTAAGAAAATAATTTTTTTTTAAAAATCGTAGTTGGCAATTGTCCAGAAAATTGTAAAAAAAAATTTGAAAAAAATTTAAATACTCTATTTGTTTATAAAAAATTTATAAACAAATGGAGGAAAAAAATTTTTTTAGTTAATAAATTTCTTTTCTCGACATTAAAACAGTAATATAATAAATTAAAAAAAAAATGTTTATAGCACCACTGTGACTTTTCCGTTTTTGTAAACTTTAAAAAATTATTATATAAACAAAGTATTAACATTTCTTAAACTTTTATGAAGCTATTTTGTTTTATATTTATATAAAAAGAACTCCACGAAGCAAAAAAAATACCGGTAATTATTTAATATTTTTATCAATTTGTAATGATGAGAGAAATTCTAAAAATTTTGTATCTTAATAATAACCTACTTTGTTGGAAAATTAATTTTTATGAAAAATTCCAACGGAAATGAATTCTTCTAAGTGTTTAAAATATTTCGTAATTTTTTTAAATTTTTGAATTTAATTTTATTAACTTAAAAAAATTATTTTGTGTAACGTACTCGGTTTCGACGCCGTGCGCGCAACCTAAAAATGGCGCGCGGAAGGCTACTTTGAGAGTTAAATTAAAATTATAAATAATGGAGGTACAGTTCCGGGAGTCGTAACTTATTTATAGGAAATTTCTTCCTTTTTACGGATCTTTTTTGAAAAATCCAAAAATATTTATAGTTTACAAACTATAGGCGAAAAACCAAACACCATGTTCTTGAGGTGTTTAACTGTTTATAACTTTTGCAATTTTTTATGCACTGCAAAATTTTTCTTTACACATTGATCTAGACATTATTCCGAATCGAATGAGCTATTGAACATAATTTTCGTAATAGTATGTCCCAAAAACACGCTTTTGAACTTGTTGATTAGATCTCCCATAGCAACAACTGTAGTTGTTGTTTCCATTAGTTTTTTATTAAACTTTTAAAATATATGTATTTTTTGCAACGACTTTGCCCACCTGCTTCACTCTATTAAACCAAATTATCGCTATAGTTTATTTGAAAATGCATGACTTTCCATTAGAAAATCTTATAACCGTATTGCCATCTCTAAGAAAATAAAATGAAAAAGGGATTCCAGTACATAATTTTAGGCTTGAGGATTTCTAATCTGTGTGGTACTGATTTTGTTTTATTATTAAAAAAAAATACCAGGGGTCTTTTGAGTTTTTTGGATTACTAAAAGTAAAGTAATCCTTTAAAATGTATATTTACCAAATTTCAATAAATTTGTTTTATACATTTCTCAACAGCATAGTAAAAGGTGATTTTTAAGTAAACTTTGGTATATTTTGGTTCAGTTTGGTATATATTAAAATTGGGTCCAATAAACTTAGATTAACCTCTACAATACTGGTAGCTCTATATTCCAGCAATAGTATTTAATTACTTTATTATTAGTATCCAACAATTATGTCTTTTTGTATTTTAGGCCTGATGATGGCCACCTAGGCCGAAACTATTTGAAAATAAAAATATTTTGTAGTATCGTTTTAGAGGTGGTTTATTCCTATTGTATTGCAAATTTTGTTTATGTCCCCAAGTACGAATTATATTCGTACACTAGAAGAGATATCATTTCGGATTATTTTTTTCGATTTTTTAACATTTTATAACCTACCTACTTAAATTATTTTTATGCATAATGTGAAGCGCCTTCTACAAAATGCCTTTTAAATTATTTTTCTACGATCTAATGTTTTAAAGATATAGCCATTTAAAATCTTTTTTAACAAAAAGTAAAGATAATTCAACACAAAAATACATAAAAAATAAAAACATACATTTAACATGTCTAGTTAGGTACAAAAACACGGGTTAATTTTTACTTTCCTATCTGTATACAGATATAAGGAAAGTATAGGAATCATGATTTTTTTCAACTTCGAGTTTTCGACGGATTTTTACGTTTTGAGGTCCCCTGAATCCATTTTGACTATTTTCGCGATGATGTCTGTGTGTGTGTCTGTGTGTGTGTGTCTGTAGGTCGCATAACTCATGAACCGATAAACAGAAAAACACCAAATTTCAAACTTAAGCTTTATTCCAGAGTCTAATGAACTGATTAGATTTTGGGCAGAGTCGGAACATCTGGGGGGGTACTTTATAGGTGGTCATTTTTATATTTTATGGAATATATGTTATTTACGTTTGGAGAAGAAAATTCTTCAAATAAAAGTTACTTCTAATATAATTATCTATAATTTTTGTTCTATACAAAATTTTCCTAAAATGGTCCGTATTCGAGAAATTTGACAAAATGTAAAAAAAATATTTTTTTTATAAAAATTGTTCAAATAAAAGTTGTTTGTAATATAATTCTCTATAATTTTTATTTTATACATAATTTCTCTAAAATGGACCGTATTCGAGATATTTGAGAAAATGTGTAAATTTCGAATTTTGAAGAAAACTCAAAAACGGATAAAGAAAAAAACATTAAATTTTAAACCTAAGGTTTATTTCGGCCTGACGAGAAATGATTAGATTTTGGACAAAGACGGAACACCTAGGGGGGTACTTTATGGGAGGCCGTTTTTTGTTTTATGGAATATATCTGTTATTTATGTTTGGAGAAGAAAATTGTTTAAATAAAAGTTACTTCTAATATTATTATCTATAATTTTTGTTCTATACCAAATTTTCCTAAAATGGTCCGTATTCGAGAAATTTGACAAAATGTAAAAAAAAATATTTTTTTATAAAAATTGTTCAAATAAAAGTTGTTTGCAATATAATTCTCTAAATTTTTATTCTATACATAATTTCTCTAAAATGGACCGTATTCGAGATATTTGAGAAAATGTGTAAATTTCGAATTTTGAAGAAAACTCAAAAACGGATAAAGAAAAAAACATTAAATTTTAAACCTAAGGTTTATTTCGGCTTGACGAGAAATGATTAGATTTTGGACAAAGTCGGAACATCTAGGGGGGTACTTTATGGGAGGCCGTTTTTATATTTTATGGAATATATCTGTTATTTATGTTTGGAGAAGAAAATTGTTTAAACAAAAGTTACTTATAATATTATTATCTATAATTTTTGTTCTATACAAAATTTTTCTAAAATGGTCCGTATTCGAGAAATTTGACAAAATGTAAAAAAAAAATATTTTTTTATAAAAATTGTTCAAATAAAAATTGTTTGCAATATAATTCTCTAAATTTTTATTCTTTACATAATTTCTCTAAAATGGACCGTATTCGAGATATTTGAGAAAATGTGTAAATTTCGAATTTTGAAGAAAACTCAAAAACGGATAAAGAAAAAAACATTAAATTTTAAACCTAAGGTTTATTTCGGCCTGACGTGAAATGATTAGATATTTTGGACAAAGTCGGAACATCTAGGGGGGTACTTTATGGGAGGCCGTTTTTATATTTTATGGAATATATCTGTTATTTATGTTTGGAGAAGAAAATTGTTTAAATAAAAATTACTTCTAATATTATTATCTATAATTTTTGTTTTATGTCAAAATTTCCTGAAATGGTCCGTATCCGAGAAATTTGACAAAATGTGCAAAATTCTGATTTTTATGAAAATTGTTGAACTAAAAGTTGTTTGCGATATCGATCTCTATAATTTTTGTTTATACATGATTTTTCTAAAATGGACCGTAATGGAAAAGTGCTAAATTTAAATTTTTCAGTATTTTCGTTTTCAATGAATACCTATCTATAGAAAAATGTTTCGAGGTAGATGTATGTGGACAATGTATATATTTAGTTTATCCTCTAAACATTTATAGAGTTGCTGCAATAGGTTGTACAAAATAACCGGAAAAAGCCTATAATAACTAGATAGGAAAGTCATGTGTTGGACACATCAGATTTTTTGTATATATCGGGGTTTATAAATTAGTGGCATTTTGAAGTAATAAAATAAACTACAGGATGTTATAAGAAATTAATTTTAAATGGACGTCTTTCCAAAAACTCTTCTAATTTTGACTATACTATTAAATTATGTTGGATAAAAACAAATTCTTGTGTAGTAAAAATTAAATTAACTCTTCTACTATTAGTTCTTTCATAATTTTTCATTGTCTGGTATAAATTTCTTTGTTTACTTTTCACGCTAATAACAAGCTAGTATTTGTTATGTAAACAAAACAATTTTGTAACCTTTGTGTTCAATATTATATAACGCTCAAATAAATTTAAAGAAAAAACATGCGCTAACATGTTTCAGATTGTTTTGGTTCGATCATAACGTTGTTCGAGTATGTACTTAGTCCTGATAATGCCATTATTAAAAATTACACAGTAAATTTACCGTACAATATACTACATTGTGTAAGTTAGTATGAAGTGCCGATAAAATGTTCATTTCGTGCCGTAAAAATTTCACGCGGTATGTAACCCATTGTTTCGTGCAAATACTAAAATTTTATTGAGAAACGAAATTGACTTGAAAAGTTTACTTTAAAGTTAAAAATCAAGATGTTGATCTATCTACTAAATTACAAAGTATTGGAGGTACAATGATAGGCTTTTTAATAAATTAAAACTACAAACAAAAGTCTGCAGTGCAACAAAAATCATACTCAGAAATGACATAAATTAGAGAATATCGTGTCCCACAGGGCAGTGTGCTAGGACCGGTTCTTTACATATTATACATCTGCGATATCCTAGAGCAATGATTTGTTAAAATAGTAACATTTGTGTATGACACTGCAATCTTATCATTTGGCCGAAATAATACAGAGACCGGTAGAATTATCTCAAAATAAACTTAATTCACCTTTGTTTCACCGAAACAATTCTCTTTACAGAGATCTGAAGATACCAGCACTCGAAGAAGAAATAAAAAGATATTTTGCAAAACATGAGGGTCGACTCCACTTTCACGTTAATGAAGAAGCGCTGCAATTTCTAGACAAATCTACACTCAACAGGAGGCTCTAAAGAAGCTAGTCGAACTCGTGCAGTAAACATTAATGTTAGTACTAGTATAAAATAGTGTAGAATTTTTTTATCAATTATAATATACTATAAAAAGATCATGTGACTTACAGAATTAAATATTAGGGGGTAGTGGCTAAATGTTGTTTCTTACCATAGCATAATAATAGCAAAATATCCAGCCGTTCTGTATTGCCGACCCCAAGCCAATCCATCCTGGCCAGTCGTAAAATATTCTGCTACAGTCAAAATAGGAAAGGGTAGTCCCTTTATTATGGCCTCTTTGAAACTGCTCTGCATTTGGTTAGCGTCCACCCACATGAATTGCTCATTAAAGTCTATATCACTCCATTCCTTACTGGAATTCGCTGAAAAATAAATAGAAATTGAAACATTGAATATTTTAGAAGTTAAATTGTTTTCTAGAATACATTTCCAGCTACAGATCGTCTTCTGTATTTTCATATTAGAGGTGTTCTCTTTTTGTTGAGCCTAGTAAAGTATTTTTAAAAGTATTCTCCTCGAGAGTAAATGCATTTTTGAAAACTTTTTCTCCAATCTTTTATATCAAAGGATATACAATAAAATAAATTTCACTAACCTTGTAAAGTAATATTTACATGATTTAGTCCTACGTAAATACCAATATCAGCTGTCAATTTTTCTTGTGAGAATGCTTGATAGGTGCTTACTATGGGGGATTTTGTTATATGCCACGCTGATCCATATAAGGTAACTAAAATAAACAAAATAAATAAGTCTTTATTATAAAACTGAGTAAATTTTTTTTACGAAACTTTAGTAACTTTGATTAGAAAATATGATGTATATATACATAATTATTATGTAAAATTATTATATTTGAAAATGAATAGACAAACTTAACTCCAAATAATTAACAAAATAACTAAAAATAACAATATTCTACATGGCATCCTCCAACTCCTACGCATTTTCCAATTTCTTTTGATAATAATAAAACCAATATATTAGCCACGTCTTGTATTTTTGTAATAGTTAATTTCGTAAAGGAATTTCATTGGCAAAAACTAAGGACTTCGTATGTCCTCAAAATTATAAATCCAATTGGAATCAGGATTTCTAAAATATTACATGAAATCCCTTTTCGATAATCTTAAATGTTTTCAAAAACGGTTAAAATTATCAAATTAAAACAAGTATTTCAATTTTACATAAAAATTATGTTTATATCATGTATTCTAATCAAAATTACCAAATATTTTTGTCTAAAAAAGATATGCTACCTTTTCTGCATATAAGACGTAATACAATGCAACAGTGGTGAGGGGAAACAGTAACAAAGCCTACACAGAACACGGGGCTAATATCCATAGCAGTGTTGATGCCGTTGACACAGAATAAAAAAAAATACCTAAAATAATACTCCTTGTCTAATTTTACGACTCTGATAATGATTTATAAATAATATTGTTTATTTTAAAGCTTAAAGGTACATATTTTAATTGTTTTACCTTTCCCAAAAATTAATTAATAAGTACAGGGTTTTGAATTGATCCTTAAAAAAAATATTTTATGTTGTGGTTCTTTCTACGAAACACTTTTATAATAAATGTGTACTGTGCAATAACTTGACGCCAAAATATTAAATTGAGTAGAACCTTCTGAAAATATGCTTCCCTGACGTCACAGTAAAATTAGTAAGATTTAAAAAAAAACTACCGTCATACACTTGTGCATCACCCTGTAATTAAAAATATTTTTAATTTTACGTATGTAATAATATATTACTAAAACACGTATTAAACGTGTGTATGCAACAGAAATTCAATCTAGCTCGTAAGTTGGAAAATTGGAATTCCGAAAAATGGGCAATTTTCAACTTTATACAGGGTGTCAGTGAAATATTGTAAAAAAATTCGGGAGGTGATAGTACTCCTAAAACTAGTAAAAAAAGTTCCTATAACTATGGGTCGTTAAATACATATTAAGGGATTTAGGGGCAAAAAGGGCAAACTTGGAAAGTGGTTTTTTTGAAATTGTAAGCTTAAAAAACACGATAACTTCTAAAAAAATTCCTGTTGACATAAAATTTACTGCTGAATCCAATGGTAATATCGAAAAATTACTTATTTAATCAGAAAGGGTAGTTCTTGCAAGGGTAAGTGTTCGATTTATGATTAACTTTTTAGGGGTTAATTTTTTTACCACGTGGGTCTATTTTTTAAAAACAACTACATTTCCATAAAAGAAGTTACTCTTATTGCAAGTCGCTTAAAGTAACCGTTTTCGAGAAAATTGAAGGCAAAGAGTTTGGTAAATCTGTAGTTGAAAAACGAAAAGTAAAATTACTTATTTTTTGATGGATATCTCACAGATTAATAAACATAAATTTATGAAAATTATGACGTGTTAAACTAATCAACCTCCCAAAAAACTCATAAACACTAAAGAAAAAAATATTTTCAGGTAATGTCGAAGAAATTTTATTATGAAAAATAATTTTTTGTCTATGGGTCAATTTTTTTCTCTCAACTTTACAATCGGAAGGTAAGTGGCAACCCAAACCCCAGAAGAAATTTGTGGGCACGCCACTGTCAGTGAATACTTTTTGGACAGAACAATAGCTATTGTACATGGCCTTATCACAATTTTTTTATTTTAATTTAGCAAAAAGAAATTGTAAATAATTTTGCCTAAAATTATTCTGGTTTTTAAGTATTTCTGTCAGTTTCTTGTTGTTGAAGTGTACCGTCAACCGGGGATATATCGGACGATATTTTCATTTATCTACCTGTATTTCTTTTGTTTAACGTAATTAAAGCTACCTAATACATTCTATAGTAAGAAGTTAACCTAGTAAGCATATTTACATAAAAAAGTCTTTTAAAAGATGTCACGGTTATTTTTTTTTTCTCTTTGAAGTTCGTCCGATATAACCCGGGGTTTGGGGTTATATCGGACGCTTCAATTTTTACATTGGAAAAGTACGTTTTGAGCCTGGTGTTCGGTATAGGTTTGGTCAGAAACCTTTATCGGACATTTTTTATCAAAAAAAAATTCTATGCAAGGTACAGGGTGAAGCGGTAAAAGAGAAAATAAAAGATAGCCATCTTTATTCAAAAAACAAATTTACGTAGGAACTTCAAATAATAAAAAACAGAAAAATAAACATTAAAGACTAGATAAAAAATTAAAAATAATATTTTAAACTCTTAACTCTACAAATTAACATAGGAACTTCAAATAATAAAAAACAACTCTACCACTGTAGACCTTCAAACACATGAACTCCACGATGTATTTTAGGCGCAGTTAAAACACTGCTGACTTGTTGAAGTTTTATTTCATTCTTGTCTTCAACGTCCGGTAAAATAAATGAATCTCTGTGACCCTTATAAAATCTAAGGCAATTTACATTAATATGATTTTTGGCAATCTTTTCAATTCGCGCCACGAATTCTTTTGTCCTTTCCTTCTTGCTTCCTTCATTGTACAAAAACTTAACTCTTGCAAAACACCCTTCTTTTAACGTATAACAGGTTACTGGAAGTTCAACATTTGGTACTTCAGACGAGGAAACATCGTCCGGCACTTCAGACGTGGAATCATCGTTAAGTGTATCGTTTTCTTGGGACATAGATGCGTTTCTATTAATGACATCTTGAGAGGTAGATGAAGTTGACATACCACCATTCACTTCGCACAAGTCGTCCAGACCCACCGATTTGCCAGGTGGGACATTAATCTTTGCCTTACGCTTGGGTCTAGTCGAAGTTTGGTCCAAAGGAGCCACAATCGCGTTCATCACTTCTGTAAACGACTCTTTCATTACTTCATTTGTGCCTTCTGCTGGTCGTTTCCGAATGCTTTTCAAAACTAGTTCTGGATTAAATGGGATTATGCCCGTTGCTCGAAAACCAGAAACTATATTATTCGACATGCGATCCTTCGATTTTTCCAGAAGACTCTTCAGCAGCGAAGGAAACACAGATTTCGGTACAACTCCTTTATGGGTCCGTTTCCATTCGGTAAGAATTTCTCGCCACACGCGTTTGAGCGGTCCAAACACTGCAACGTCCAGGGGTTGACATAAGTGTGTCGAATTCTTCGGCAAAAATACAAATTGAATGTTGTTTTCTGTGCAACTTTTAATAATGCGGTAAGAAATATGGCTTGCTAGGTTGTCGCAAATAAGAACCTTCTTGCCCTCCTTTCGTCGCAGATAGGGAAGAGCTATTTTGAAGAACCAGTCCTCAAAACATTGTGTGTCGAACCATCCACTTTGTGTTCTGTTATATTGCGAACCTTCTGGACCACCTTCTATCCACTCTGGGTAGAGGTTTATACTTTTGTACACAACGTATGGAGGTAAACAAGTGCCATCTCCAGCTGCAGCGAACATAACAGACGTTGACGTTTTGGAAAAATCCATTATCCTTCGTGCATGCTTTTCTCCTCTAGGAATAAAATCTAGTTTTTTACCGGGATCATCTGTTAGGTTTGTTTCATCCATATTAACAATATTTTCAGGTGGAACCCCCTGGATTGTCTCGTTCAAGTTCTCAAAATATTCTCTAATCGTCACTTCTGTGATTTCAGCTTTAACTCGTTTAATATTTTCACAATTACGGAGTGATAACTCCTTATGTCGCCCCATAAAGTATTCAATCCAGTCATCACCAGGTCTATTATTGTCGAAACATTGTATATTTACGCCCTTACCGTTTAAATAATGGCTTACGAAGTCCTTGACTGCTTGCCTTTCGAAAGGATATCCGAACTTTCCTGTAATTATCATTGCATCCACTATCCAACGCTCTTCTATCACAGATAAAACTGGGGGCCTCCCGAGTTTGTCGGAATGCTCACCTTTGTAAATATCGTACAGGGTGCTTTTTGGTACCCCATGTAGTTCTGCTGCCTGCTTGAAAGAATAGTGGCCATCCACCACTGCCAACAATGCCCTTTCCATGTTTTCTTGAGAATAATTACGCCGATACGGCGTTCCTAGCTTATGAAGGTGTTTTCGTGGCATGTCCGATATATCCCCTGAAAAAACAATTTTCTCTTAATTTCGATTTTTTGAGAAAAGGAAAGTGCAAAAATAAATTTTGAGGTTATGGGAGTCTTGATAAGGTTGAAAACAAATATTAATCCCATTGCACCGTGTAGATAGCATGCACAGGGTTCACAGGCCAGAGGAGACTATTTGGCGGTCATAATTTTAGCGAAAAAAGTGACTCTAATAATTATTTTTTTGTGAGCTTACCTGAATTTTCTGATCGAGCACGAAACGCATGTACGATTGACAGATTATCTGTCAGTCTAGAAATATGTTTGTTTTGTAACCTAACTGTCACCCAACGCTTGTAGCGCGCGAAACTTGAAATATAACCATATCGTCCGATATTACACCTGTGATCCGATATATCCCCGGTTGACGGTACGCGAGCGTAATATACCAGAAATTATGGAATACACTGTACTTGAACTGACAGATATGCATTTTATTTATGGAAGAGCGAACGGAAACGGTCTTTTAACTAAACGTTAGTATATTCAAAAATATCCAAATCGCAGAGCACCCTCTCATAGGATATTTGCCAGAGTCCATCAGCGCCTGAGAGACGAAGGTTCATTTAGTAACAGGCACCATGATCGCGGCCGTAATGTTACAGTGCGTACACCACCAACTGAAAAGCGAATTTTAAGAAGTGTAGAGGAAGATCCAGGGTTATCTGTAAGGAGAATTGCAGCGCGAGAAAACGTGAGTCCCCATACTGTGTGGATGACTCTTCATACTCAATTGCTGTATCCATACCACATCCAAAGGGTACAAGCCCTTAATCCTCCAGACTATCCGGCTCGTGCCACTTTCTGTCGTTGGTTATTAAGAAAACTGGTAGAAGATCCCTTTTTTCTGTCAAACATTTTATGCACTGATGAAGCAGGGTTTACCTAAAATGGAATTGTTAATTACCACAACACCCATTACTGGTCCGATCAAAATCCTCATGCTGTCATAGAAAGCCGACACCAAGTTCGATTCTCAGTAAACGTTTGGGCGGGAATTCTTGGAGATAGACTTATTGGACCATTCTTTCTACCCAATAGGTAAATTTTAAAACTGTTCAAACGTCACCAATTCCTAATTATTATTATTATTCTTTTAGGCTTAATGGACAAAATTACCTTCATTTTTTGGTAAACCATTTACCAATACTTTTGGAAGAAGTTCCAATAGCACAGAGGCAGATTATGTATTTTATGCACGATGGTGCACCACCTCATTTTCCACTAGCCGTGAGAAATCATTTAAATCAAGTTTTCTAGAGGCATTGGATAGGACGTGGTGGTACACAAGCTTGGCCAGCCAGATCACCAGATCTTAATCCACTTGATTTCTACTTATGGGGTCACTTAAAAGCTTTAGTTTACTCAGTGCCGATTAATACTGAAGAGCAACTACGACAACGGATAATTGAATCCAATCAAATTCGTAAAACGCCAAGGATTTTCGATAGGATACGCAGATCCTGGAGGAGAAGAGCAGGTGTCTGTATTGAAATTAATGGTGGCCACATTAAACATTTACTTTAAATAAAAGAGTCAGACTGATATGATAAAAAAATACGGTACTTTCCATAATAGTAATAAAATATTTTTCACTTTAATTTCTTACTCTTTTATTATTTAAAATAATTTCGGCGCTTCTCTTGTTTAACAGGGCGATTTGGTAATTCTAAATTGAAATAACCACGCCATAATTTTCATAAATTTATGTTGATTAACCTGTGAGCAACCCATCAAAAAATAAATACATACTTGTTTTTCAAATACGGGTTCAGTAAAATGTTTGCCTTCAATTTTCTCGAAAACCATTGCTTTAAGAGACTTGCAATAAGAGTACCTTTTTTATGGAAAAAAGGTAGTAGTTTTTAAAAAATAGACCCATGTTGTAAAAAAATCAACCCCTAAAAAGTTAATCATAAATCGACCCCTTACCCTTGCAAGAACTACCCTTTCTGATTAAATAAGTAATTTTTCGATATTACCATTGGATTCAGCAGTAAATTTTATGTCAGTAGTGATTTTTTTCGAAGTTTTATCGTGTTTTTTAAGCTTACAATTTCAAAAAAACCACTTTCCAAGTTTGCCCTTTTGACTCCCCTAAATCCCTTAATATGCATTTAACGACCCATAGTTATGGGAACTTTTTTTACTAGTTTTAGGAGTACTATCACCTCCCGAATTTTTTTACACTATTTCAATGACACCCTGTACAGGTTCGATAATTATTGTACGTCTAGCAACACTGCTTTCACCACTCACTTGATGCTTTATAATTTTAGGCGAGTGACATGCGCAGCAAGACCAAATTGTGGGAGTCTACACACACAGTAACTGAATACTGGTCTTGGTAAGAGTCATTATGGGTGGTCATACTGATTTGGTAAATGAATGAAAGTCGTGTGTTTTAAACACTTTATATAAACCCTTTCCTTTTGTTGATCTTATTAAAACATAGGATTTGTTTACGTCTAACAAATTTCATTTGAGACAAGAAAACCTTTTTCAGTGTCTGGTATCATAAGTTATCCATTTAATTTGTCTACGTAAGAAGAAATTTAAACTTCTAAAAAGGACGCGATAAAGGAATTAAAGGACTAATCTTAATCCACAATATTCACATATTTTTAATTGTACCACGTCATCCAATCCTGCGTCCTGCAAATATTTTATCAAGATATTATCTGACATTAATTCCAAAATATGGGGGAACGCCGTCCTGTTGAAACCATAGTGTTAATGGGGTATCTGGGTCTACGTTGGAAAACATAATAGCTAGATCAGGTATTAATTCAAATCTTAAAAAGTTTAAGTAGCATTCAGCTGTAAGGCTTTCCAATGTAAAATCAATTCACGTATTTCAGCGTTTTTTTTTAAGTTACTGGTTGAACAGATAATAATTTTATCTGCGCAACGCTATATATACAATTCCGCATTTACAATTATTATAAATCTATAAAAATGGTATACTCACTTAAAATAGTAGCTCCTATAAATAAACTCAACGTCACAGCACAAAAAGTTGAGCATCTCTGTAAAAAAAACAAAAATTGTACATTTTTAACATCAAAAATATTTCGAAATTTAATTCAGGGTAAAATAACAAAATCCGTGATGCACTTTCATCATTTTTATGAACATTTATTGGTACACAAAAAATTAGCCCCATAAATTATATAACACGGCGCATTAGCATTTTAATATTACTCGAAGAATTTTTAAATTTCATTGTTACACCGTTTCAAAATATTACCTCTCACTTTCTTAATCATGTTTAAAGTATTAAAATAACAAGGTGCAATTAGTGGCGAAGAAAAAGATTGGTCCTGAAATTCAAAATGTTATCTCATTTTTCATTATAAATTTAATTTTTATCACATAATTGATTTAAATAAGTATCAATTTTGCATGATGCAAAATGGATCCAATTAGGTTGAATCGCATATATTTAATGTTTTACATTCCATTTGTAACTGGGAAATGAGGTTTATAACATAATTATGTAGTCAGTTGAACAGCAAGTAGAATAAACATCCTATTATATTGATATTTTAATTTCAGATCAAAAACTAGACTGGCTGTGTGTTGCAGTTTTATTATTTGTAACAGACCTGATTTCTCCTACATCTCTAAAAAATATTGATTGATTGATTGGTTGATTGTATGGCCCTCACAGTTATTTTATTTTTAGTGTTAAGATATTTATAGACATCCTGGAGTCCAGCACAATTTTTTTGCGTATAATTCTGGATTTTTATCATGTACAACATGAAAAACCATATACAAGGTGACTCCTTAGTTTATACTTTTTTTAAACTGTGTACAAATAACTTTTTTAAGTAATTTCTTCAAATAACTAACTATTTCAAATAATTATAACTATTATTTCAAATAACTAACTATTTCAAATAACTAACTATTTCAAATAACTAACTATTTCAAATAACTAACTATTTCAAATAACTAACTATTTCAAATAACTAACTAACTATTTCAAATAACTAACTATTTAAAATAACTAACTATTTCAAATAACTAACTATTTCAAATAACTAACTATTTCAAATAACTATTTCAAATAACTATTTCAAATAACTATTTCAAATAACTATTTCAAATAACTATTTCAAATAACTAACTATTTCAAATAACTATTTCAAATAACTATTTCAAATAACTAATTCAAATAACTATTTCAAATAACTATTTCAAATAACTATTTCAAATAACTATTTCAAATAACTATTTCAAATAACTATTTCAAATAACTATTTCAAATAACTTTTTCAAATAACTATTTCAAATAACTATTTCAAATAACTATTTTAAATAACTATTTCAAATAAATATTTCAAATAACTATTTCAAATAACTATTTCAGATAACTCTTTAAAATAACTTTTTTAAATAACTATTTCAAATGACAGTTTTAAATAACCTTACTAAATAACTTTTTCAAATCACCTTTTTAAATAACTAACTTTTTCAAATAACAATAAATAACTAACTTTTTCAAATAATTGTATTAAATAACTATTTCATATTACTTTTTAAAATAAGCAACTTTCGCAAATAACCTTTTAAAATAACTTTTTCAAATAAATTTATTAAATAACTAACTTTTTCAAATAACATTTTTAAATAACTAACTTTCTAATAATTAAAACTATAACTATTTATTTTAAATAACTTTTTTAAATAACTTTTTCAAATAAAATTTCTTAAAAAAACTAATGTGTAGAATTTTAGATCTCTGTGAGGGAACTCTTTAAGTTAAAGTACTTGAACACGTTGAACAAGAAAGGGATACAATTGATTTTTACGCAATGTTGTTCACACTTTTCCTTGACTTACTTGCAGTTGATCTGCAATCACCTACGGTATCACCAACTGGATCTTTCTCGATAACAAATAAAAAAAGAGTACTTCTTAACGCATTTGATTTTCAATTTACCACATAGAACAATTTTTTAAATTCAAGGCTTCAGATAAACATGCCACTGAAATCACACGCGACTGAATTTAAATAACCGGTACATAATGAAAAAAAAAGACAAGATAAAAACAGACTTATTATTTAGTGCAAATTTTCATACACTAATCCAGGCACAGATTAAGATTTTTTAATTCTATATATTTTTCATTTTTTTAAGGCAAGAACAGGTAGTGCAGTAATAATTAGAGAAGCAATTAAGCATCATCAAGAAGCGGCATACAGGAATTTCAGAACTTCAGTAATGATAAAATCTTAACATTATGATGTTATGGCCACTTCTACATATTGTCCGTTAAAAAAGAACAATCTAGGTATTGTTTTGGATACTCACTACAATGTAATGATATTCCTTAACACTCCTATTGCTTCAATAAAACACTAAGCTGTTTATACTATTTTCAATGTAAAAAATCCGATAAAATATTAATTTTAAATTTTAGAGACGCAGAGATTAGCTGGTAAGCGCTGATTTGATGGAACTTGAATTCTAGTATCTTTGTAGGAAAGGGAAATGAGATAAACAATTGTTGTATTGACCTGAAATATTAAAAATATGAAACAAGTCCCGAGATAAGAGACATTGACATGTAGAAATAGAAAGAAGTGTGTTACTAGATGTCAAGATGATCTGAAATGTATAAATCACAACATGATGTTAAGCACCGTAAAATAGGAAAGATAAGGAGTCCAAGAAGTGAACTTTAGGAGTTGGATGATGATGATAATGATAAACATCTTTAACAACAATGGCGAACTCTGGCGAATATGCCTCAGAAATAAATCTCACTGATATTTTGATCAGGAAGGCATATTATCTCCTTCCAAACTATCTCCTTTGTCCAGAAAATTTAAAAAATGTATATTACAGTACACAAAATTTGAAATTTGAATTGCTTTCCGTCATCTTATACTATTTAGTTCTAGCTCCCTGCTATAATTGTTAAAAACTTACTTCATTTAATTTTTTTTAATATACCAGCATTGTTTTTACATAGAGTTTTATTGCACAAAAAGATAATATTGGTATATATTTAACTAAATACAACTTCATAACTAGTTTAAGTATGGCATAATAACTTATGTCAATATGGTATGGTACCTATTCACAAGTATCTCAACACATGATGTGTGTAAATAAACAAACAATAATTCTGGTCAAGGTTTATTTTGTTTGTAAATTAGTGTATGTTCTATGCTTAATTGCCTGTCTTAAATACTACTTAACGGGGGATATACATTTTTAATGCTATTATATTTATTTACATTCGTGTCAATTAAAGCAAGTACCTACTTATGTAAAAGGCGAAATATTGTATGAAATTTACTTAGCCCATGAATGAAAGCTACACGGTGATTTTTTAAATGATTCATGAATGGACCTTGATACTGTTAAAATGGTTTGTTTCTATTCTAAATGAACATGTCTGTCATTTCCAGTTAAAAATGTATCAGTTTGTTGAAAACTTAGCATAAATCAGATTTAAAATTGCTAAATAAATGTGTTTCTCTCAAAATTAATTGTTATCTAAATAACAGTTATTGTGATATCAAACTGCATCAATGGTAAACTTTTTATAATAATATAGTGACCATTTCAAATGGTATCTCATTGAATTTGGTGTACCTGCACCCCTACCTTCATTTCCAAAGTGCGGTCACGCTTATACATAGCAATAAAACTAATATGGAAATTCCAAGATTCATTCAGAAAATTGCTATAAACAAGGGTCACTCTGTATATTCAAACAAAAATAATTTCTATTCTAGTTTTGAAATTGCATAAATATCGAAATATCTAAATGCCCTTGTTAAATTATGATTTTTAAATGACATATTTGGAGTCTTAAAATTGAAAGTGTTCCAAATTAGTAACAATCGGAGCAAAAGTAAAATAATTATTATAAATTATGTTGTTAAGGCAAGAGTTCTATTATAAAATGTAAATGAACCTAAAATTATATTCATGAAAACAGTAGCAATAGCAGTATAATAAATTATATAAGAGATATATTTTATGCTCCTCCTTTCGATTGTTATAGACAGGACCGTCGTAAGAAAAAAGATACCCTAGATAGAAAAATATTTGTATAGATTTATAGACAAAAATCACAAACTGCAATAATTAATATAACTGTATTATGTATAAATTCTTGATTTTTTGTTTATTTAAATATTAAAATACATTACCTAATAGTAAAGTTATTTAAAAACGTCTGATTGAGCACCGAACATAGGCATTTCTGCCAGTGAAGTATACTTATAATTAATATTTAAAAATAAGAACAAGTAAAGAAGAAATTGAGTGTATAAACAGATGAATAAAAAATAATAGTACATTAGAAAAGGAAGTTAAAAACGATGAAGAGCGTGTTCTATAGGGCTTTTGATATGTTAAATTTTTTTATTTGGTTATTTGCAGGAATTGTTTTAAAAAATGGGCCAAAAATTAATAATGACCTTCGAATAGGTCATTTTTTAAAATATTGTACAGGGATCTCCATATTAGCGACTGAGAGTGTTAAGCGGGTATTTATCTGAGTTAAATTTTCAGTGTTGGTATCAGAGATAAAGAGATATAAAAAGTCATTGATAAAATATAATAATCGCGATGCCAAGATTAATTCGACAATCAATACTCTGTATTTGTATGGACGGGGCGAGGAGACGAAAGGTGAGAAGTAAGAGAGGGGATAAAGAGAATAATTTTACGCTGATACAACTTTTTTGGATTAATTAATAAATGTGTAAGACGCTGTGCGCTTATAATAGACAACGTAAATATCCATGACGGTGTAAGCCCTATTGCCATTTTTTAGATAACTTGACTAGGTTAATGGAATTTATTGAAAATTATTACATTTAATTTAGTGAAATTACATCTAATTTAATTAAATTTGATATGACTAATAATTCAAAATGTTTTGGGTTCAGTTGCAATAAAATAGGTTTAATTTTTTTAGCTTTTTTAATACATGTAAATAATTTCGTAAACAAAACGAGAATAATGAAATAGGTATATGACAACAACGGTTATTT